GGTAACGGATGACATGAATCGGGTTATGGATATGGAACCGACGGCAAAGGAAATCAAGGAAGCTTTATTCCAAATGCACCCGAACAAGGCACCTGGAATTGATGGTATGCATGCTTCATTTTTTCAAAAATTTTGGCATGTTGTCGGTACTGATATTATTACTTTGGTGAAAAATTGGTGGAATGGTTTAATTGATATTTCTGAAATCAATAAAACTTGTATTGTTTTGATCCCGAAACTCAATGAGCCGAAGTATATGTCTGAGTTCAGGCCGATAAGTTGTTATAATGTAGTATATAAAATAATATCTAAGACTATGGCAAACAAACTTAAGCTGTTTCTTAATGATATTATTTCTGTAAATCAGAGTGCTTTTCTTCTAGGTAGGTTGATTACTGATAATGCGTTGATGGCTTTTGAGATTTTCCACTATATGAAAAGAGGGAAGAAATGGTACGGTAGCCCTGAAGCTTGATATGAGTAAGGTCTATGATAGGGTGGAATGGATTTTTCTGGAAAAAGTGATGGGAAAAATGGGTTTTAGTACGACTTGGTTCAAGCGTGTAATGACTTGCATTTCCAGTGTTTCATTTTCTTTCAAAGTGAATGGTGAGGTGTCGGGTAATGTGGTGCCTTCTTGGGGTCTTAGACAAGGAGACCCTATTTCTCCATAATTATTTTTATTGTGTGCAGATGCTTTCTCGGCTTCGATTTCGAAGGCTGTTCATGAGAAAAAAAAAATACATGGTGCAAAAATTTGCAACTCTGCACCTAGAGTTTCTCACTTATTTTTGCTGATGATAGCATACTTTTTGCTAAAGCTACTCTGCAGGAATGTTCGAAGATTGTTGATATTATCAATTTAAGATTGTTGATATTATCAATTTATATGAAAGAGCATCCAGTTAGAAAGTTAACTTGGATATGAAAGAGCATCCAGTTAGACAGAGGTAGCGTTTAGTAAATGTGTTTCGAGTGATCAGAGGACTACTATTATCGGGACTCTTGGTGTTAGAGAAGTTGAGAGACATGAAAAATATTTGGGATTACCAACAATAATTGGTAAGTCCAAAAAAGCGATTTTTGCCTGCTTGAAAGAGAGAATATGGAAGAAGGCAAATGGGTGGAAGGAAAGATTGATGTCGAGGCCGGGAAAGGAAGTTCTTATAAAAGCCGTGGCTCAATATATTCCCACTTACATGATGAGTGTCTTTAAAATCCCGGATGGTCTTATTGATGAAATTCACATCCTTTTATGCAAGTTTTGGTGGGGGACAAGAGAGAATGAAAAAAGGTTGCATTGGCAGAATTGAGAGAAATTGTGCTTACCAAAGGCTAAAGAGGGAATGAATTTTAGGGACCTAAAATGTTTTAACCAGGCTCTCCTTGCTAAGCAAATTTGGCGGTTGCACACAAATGAATCCACACTGCTCCATAAGATTACCAAAGCAAAATACTTTAAAAATTCCTCCGTTCTTGAAGCCCTTAGGGGTTTTGACCCGAGCTACGCTTGGCAAAGTATGTCGGGTGCAAAAGGTTTACTGCGGGATGGTTTAGTTTGGAGGGTTGGGAATGGAACCAATATCAATATTTGGGTGGATTCATGGCTGGTTGTGGATGGGAAACCGTGTTTTATTCCTATGCCGAATGGAAGGGATGAGAATGCGGTGGTGAGGGACTTGATGGATGCGGATGGTGGGAGATAGGATGCTACACGAGTTATGAACACAGTTGGGAGCGAGTTTCAAGTTGTTGTTCTTGCTGTCCCTTTGTCTTCCAGAAGCGGCTCTGATATGAGATATTGGGGTTGGACAAAGTCTGGGATTTATACTGTGCGATCTAGATATTGGCTTGCAAAAATAGGAAATAATGAAGGGTTCAATGGAGGGGTCATTGATGAAATATGGCAGTCAATCTGGAAGGTGAAAGGGCTGCCAAAAATGCAACATTTTCTATGGAGTGCAATCAAGGGAAATATGCCCGTAAAGGCTAGGCTTGTGCAACATCACATTACGAGTGATAGCGTGTGTCAAATATATGGGGCTGCTGAGGTAACGATAATACACACGTTGTTTAAGTGTGAGGTTGTTGTAGCTATTTGGGAACAAAGTGAGTTGAGGGTTAATTTGGTGGGGGCTCCAATGGACTCTTTTGTTTAGGTGTGGGAATGGCTGGTGAGGAAGTTTGATGCCGAAGTGATATGCTCGATGGCTGCTCTGATGTAGGCTGCCTGGAGGTGTCGCAACTTGTTACTGTTTGATGATGAGAGGCCAAATTATGTCATGCTAGTTGCTAGTTATTGCAGGCTTGCTCATGATTATAACTCATATGCTCAGGAAGTGTTCAAGCAAGGGGTAGTGAGTGTGGATGGTGGAAGCATAACAACCTGGAAATGTCCCTCGCAGAGCTATATTAAAATCAATACGGATGCTCATGCCCCTGCTATGGGAAAGGTTAGTCTTGGGGTGGTTTTTCGTGATTACTCTGGGAAAATTGTTCTGGCAGCAGTGAGAAAGGTGGACAACTCAAGCCCGAAATGCCTAGAAGCTATGGTGGTAAGATATGCCTTACAACTTGCGTGTAGGATGGGATATAGGAAGATCTGGGTGGAGTCGGATGCACTGTCTGTGGTCAAGCAGGTGAACGCGAAGGATTGGGGTTTGTCTTTAATTTTTAGCATCTTTGATGATATTAATTACGATAGGGCATATTTTGATAGTTGTAAGATTTCACATGTAAAACGCTCATGTAACACAGTAGCCTACTTAATTGCTAGATGGGATGCGGGTGATCATATGGAGTATGTTTGTTTAGACTCCTTTCCCCAGAGCATAATAACTTTGGCGGAATTGGATCTCTTTTAATTTAATAAAATGCTCTGTCGGTTAAAAAAAAAATAATAATAAAATAAAGTAAAAAAATAATTTTTTGATGCTTCTTAAAAAATTTGAAATCCTTGTCCGCGCTTCCATCCTTCACTTTTTTGCAAATTTCCCCCAAATTTCCTGGAATTTCACTGAATAAACCCTAAAATGTGGACGACTGAGAAGCTGTTTGTGCAAATTTTCGACCGAAAGAGGCAGATTATCGAGAAATTGAACCACCAGAAGCAACTCTACGACCAACATCTTCTTTCGAAGCTCTTAATTCAAAGCATTCCTCCTCTTTCTTGGCTCCTGAATTCCGATAATCAATTTTCAAATTCAGATTTCACTGGTATTTCTTTGTTTCCTCGATTTTTGGTGATTTTTTGTGACTTTTCTTTTTCGTAATTTTGAGGTTTTATGCTCAAAATTTGGGGGTTTATGGTTTGCCGGAAGTGTAGTTTATAAATTAGGGCTTGAAATTTGTTTATTCTTCAGTATTTTTAGTGAAATTGTGATTATTGTAGGAAATTTTAGCTTTGATGTTACATTTGTTGCTAATTGATTAGGTTTTGATTGATTTTGTAATTGGCATCAATTTGTCGCCATTTCTTCAATTTATTGAATCGCCTGTTTTAGTACGTTTGAAATTTTAGATTGCAATTTGGAATTGTAGATAGATTTATGAGTTGTTAGCTAGGAATATGTAGTCAATGCGACTGTTAAGCAGAGAAACAGCATAACAGCAGTAAAATGTGTCATTTTGAATGTTCTTTTGGGTCATTGTCGCTTCAAGGGTTAGTTTCGGGTGTGATTGATATGATTTATAAGAGTACAGAAATTCTTTCTCGAATCTCCAGTTTTACTGCTGGTTTTATGTCCGTGTTTTTGCCAATTAACCTGCATCAAGAAAGGCAATTCACATTCTCGAGTTGATTTGTGGAGTATGTATCTGGTTAGTTTGTATCAAAATCTGAGGTTAATGACCAAATGCAAATCTGTTAGCTCCTTGTAAGTGTTATAACAGTTTAGGACTTTTCGTTATAATTGACTTACAAAATGATTCAGAAGCACTTGTCACTTGTTTTGAGAAGTTCTGGTGAAATCGACAATCTCAATTGAAGTGGAAAAATTGTTCTGAAATGGTGTATGATTGTTCACATAGAACTATTTGTGTTCTACACTTCTACCATGGTAATTGAAGTTTGAAATTATTAATTGAAGAATTAATTTGTAGCAGATGTGTTGGTATTGTTGGAAGATATTGTTCTAATTAATTAATTGCTTTCTAAATGAAGAACTTTTGGTTGTTTATCTTACTTTGCTAATGTGCTTAATTATTTTTTCAGCATTGAAAAAGGAAGATCTTATTTCAGGACTGTTGCTTCCAAGACCAGGACCTTTTCTCTCTTACATCAGTGGTCCTAGTTTTGTATATGATCAGCCAGTTGTAACAGAAGCAAATAGTGGCATACCAGTTGAAACTTGTGCTGGTAAATGTGCCTCTAGCAATGGATTTGATGAAGATAGTGTTGCTCCACTGCATCATGTTGATGGCACTGAAGACATGGATGACATTGTTCCTCCGAGTCATGTTGATGGTGCTGAAGATATGGCTGACTTTATTCCTCCTTGTCATGTTGATGGCACTGAAGATAGGGCCGGCATTGTTCCTCTGTGTCACGTTGACGATACTGAAGATACGGCTGACATTGTTTCTCCATCTCATGTTGATGATGGCATGGACACATTCAGTTATGTCCCTATGTCTCCTGAAGAAGGTTCTCAAATGTATGTAAACCTGAGCAATCTCTTGCAAGAATACAGAGATCCAGGTCCCGTCAAAAGGCATTGGAGCTTCGGAATTGTGCAAAAGCAAGTACTAAAAGCCGTTTAGGGATGGAGAATGATGTTGGTTCTTTTCATGATGGAATAATATGTAGATATGATGCACAATTTGATTTGAAAAGATCTCTTGAATTGGAGGAGCCTTCTGCAGGACCTACTGAAATTCGATCCAATGAAGAAGTAGCAATTGGAAATTACTCATTACTCAAACAAAGAGGGTAGTGTTGATGCTTGGGGTGGCTTTTTGGCACAAGCTACAGGATTTGATCATCATATTTGCTCCAAGGAAGAAGCAGTAATGGAAAATTCTACACACAAGGAGAAAAGTGATGATGCCTCAGACGGTCCTGTTACACATTCATCAGTTAGTGAGGCAAATGAGGTAGAATTGGATAGTTCTTGGCCATGTTTTAAGCAAAGGAAAATCGAATATCAGAACCCCAACAAATCTTCCAGCCCAACTTTGAGGACAAGTTCCTACAAAGCTATCAGTGAAAGTATATCCAATATATCTGTTTGGGGTGAGAAAGAAAACATCTGTCCTATGCCTCAGGAACTGTCAATTTCTCATAATTCAGGCGCCGCTTTATCAGATTGTGCTATTTTTATCAAGGTGATTGATCAGAGTGTCCCTTCTTTACTGAGTAAGGAACAAGTGTTGACTCCTCAGGTGGGGTGTGGAAAGGTACTGCTTCACCCATGCTATCTATTGTTAACCTTCTAATGTGAGATAGTACTTCATCACAACATGTTTGACATGTAGCATGTTCCATGCATTTCTTTTCTTTTTTTACCCCGATTCTGGTTGTATTTAATACACTCATCCCAAAATACATTTCTCATAAGTATGTACACTTATAAAGTAGATAGTTATTGTATTGATTTTTAAATTTAACAAATACTATTGCACTGTTATTCTATAGTGATGCATTGATATTTCAAGCGTTAAATAAGATGAGAAAGCTCAGCTACTTAAGAGGGATAAATAATTTAGAATGGAGTATATAGTAAATTACCTCTATCACTACAATAGAGTTGACATTTTGTCTAATGTTATTTTACCTTGTAGATTAATCTCTCAATGTTTATCTGGCAGGATAAAGCTAGCTTAGGGAGAATTGATCCATCCTCCATACATGAACACCAAAAACTTTCAAAATCTGATGGTTCAAATGTGAATCGAAGTACTATTGCAGAGCCATCAGAATTTTTGACTTGGGATGGAAAAGTGAAAACAAATGCATTAAGTGCTGCAACTTGCAGTGGAAGGTTGTCTCGTGGTTTGGTGAATGATCAAGATCTTGTTGATAATGACACTCTATTAAAGTTGATGGATACGAAAATGGCAGTGGATCATAGAAATTCTCATCAAAGAGTGCATGAATTTAAGTTATCTATTGGTTCTCCACTAATGGAGTGTATGAACGTGGCTAAAGTGGATCAAACTATACCGGAGTTTATGAAAGTGGCTGAAGTCGATCAAACTATACCAGAGTTTGATCGTTTTGTTATAGATGAGAACACAGTTGATGCACAAAGTTCCAGAGATAAATTTGCCCATGAAGAAGCTCCTGTTCTGGATTACAAAGTGGATAGGAACAGCTATTCTGAGATAATTTGCAAATCTGCAACTTTTGGTACCCCTGTATCTCCCTTTCCTACTGGATGCAAAATGTACTTAGTACCAGGTATCTACTCTTCAGTACCTATTGGGTTGCTGGAGAACATTGACCTACCAAGTAATCTGCTTCCCAGTGGAAGTGCTTTTCTTGGGAAGTCTCATTCCGATCTCTTTTCTTTTCCTGGTAGGCATGGGTGGGAAATCAAGAAACCTTTTCTGTCTCCAGTTGGGAAGCGCTTTGAAGGTGCTACATCAAAATCTGCTAGTTCAGATAAGCTAGGTAGCAGTAATCTGGAGCTTACTTGCTTCCCCATTCAGGAGGATCCTGAAAGTGGCGAGGAAGTGAATGATGCTGTTGACACTGGTGTGGAAAAGACCTCATCAAATATGAAAAATAGCACCAACATTGAACCACTGTTTGATATTACTTTGCAGTCAACTAGTTCTCTGGCTCCAGATCATGCGGATGAGAGTGATTGTTTAGAATCTGTGAGCACGGATGTCAAGAGAACTGATCCAATTACAAGAAGTGGTGGCTACAAGGAGTCATCTTGTGATATAGCTTTGCAGAATGAAAACTTTCTTGCTCCAGATGATGCAGACAAGAGGCGTAGTCAAGGATCTGTATGCACAGAAATCAGCACTTTTGAAACACATAATGACAGCAAGAAAAGTAGCATGGGTCAGAAAAGAAGCATGCAGACAAGGTTTGGGAAGGAGAACAATGGTTTATCAGTTGGTGCTTACAGCAGCAAGAAGCAATCAAAACCACACAGTAGCAGGTTCAGCAAACCAAAATTATCAGGTAAATCAAGTTTAAGAAGCAAAGGACAAAGTTTGTCAGAGAAGGAACAGAAGCGCAATAATATTATCTCTAACATAAAATCCATTCTGCCACTTGTTCAACAAAAACAAGCAGCTGCTGCTCTTCCAGGTAAGACAACTACACTTTATTTTTAAGTGTTGATTTAAAGGAGTTCAATGTAGTAATGTACGGTGTACTTATTCTTGTTGCATACCCACTGGTAATTAGATACTACTAGCAAGCTCATATGACAGTTTATGGTATTTATCTCTATCTGTCTTCATTTCATCTTCCCTATCCTTGTTTTTTAATGGCTTAGAAGTTAAAACTTCTTGTCCATATGTTAGTGCCAAAGTATGTACCCCTTTATCCTTCTGAAAGTATTTACTTTCGAGGCGATTAGTTCTGGTCTTTTATCTTGCAGCTGATTTTGCAATCAGGGAGTTAGGTGCTACTATGAAGCATTCTGTTATGCCTTATGCATTTATTTGCTATAGGGATCTAAGTTCTAAATAGTATATTGAACTGTTAACATTCTGACATAGGTTATTTGCTATTTTCAAAGCTCATACATGGATCTCTTTGTATTGATGTGCAGAAAAGAGAGATGTAAAAGTTAAGGCTCTTCAAGCTTCTGAAGTTGCCAAATGTGCTGCTGAAATAAGAGAAAATGAACGCAATCAGAAGAAAGAGGCAATGAAGCTTGAACGAGCAAGAGTGGAGCAAAAAAATATGAAGGAAATGGAACTGAAAAGAAAACTTAAGAGGAACAAAGAAAGAAAAGGGAGGCTGAAAATGCAGCTAAGAAAAGACAGAGAGAAGAAGAAGAAAAGAGAGAAAAGGAAAGGAAAAAACAGCGTATTGAATAAGCAAGGTTACAGCACAAGCAAGCAGAGGATAAACTTCAAGCTTGGAAGGAGGATTCAAGATGTGCACCAGAGGTTTGGCCGTGTCCTTGTATAGTCTCAAGCATTATTTGTCTGTCACTGTTGGCTTAAATATTGTTATCATTATAGGAAGGAGGAGCTCATCAGAGAAAGGACTTTAATGAGAAAACAGAAAAACTTGACAAAGGACATGAAGCAGAAGATTCAGAGAAGGCAGTGAATGATTTGGTCGCTGTTGGAAGTGATAAAAGAGAAGCTGATGATGGACTTTCAACCTTAAATGATCACAAGATGTCTACAGGATCTGCCATTGGAAAGGTTAAATCATTTTTCTGTTGCACTGTGAACTGTTTTAATTGGTTTTGACACACTCATCATTAAATACCAGTACAGTGGCATAGGGTTGATTTGGAATGTGATGGTCCATGAAAGTGAGATAATGTATTAGGGTCAAATGAATATCTAATTGCTTCCCTCACAGGCAAATGAGGAAATAAATTGGGAAATGCAATGTAGCTAAAGCTTTTTTTGTTGTAGCTAAAGAGGGGGATGCATACTGCATTAGCATAATTTTTTGGGCATATATGTAGATATATATTTGGCTCATCTGCCTTTCAGACGCCTTGGTTTGTGGTGAAATCTCCCTTTTTATAAGCTGTGATGGTCTTTACAGGTAGGTGCAGTTGACGTGGCCGAAAGTTCAACACCTAATGTTGACCAAAATGACAAGCTAACTCATAGAACCAGTGCGCCAGTCATATGATATATCACCGTACCAGTGCTCAGATGATGAAGAGGACGAAGTGGATAAAATACCAAACAAGAAGTTTGTGCCTACATGGGCCAGGTTTGTATCTCAATTTTAGTTCCTTGAAGTTGGTTTCTCTACATTGTAAGCTTTTTGGTTCTTCTTTCTTAATGGTAGAGGTTGTATCGTATGGGGAGTTGGACTCTGGTTAATCTGCTGCAGGTTGGGTTTTGGTTTGTTGCTATGGTAGTTGTTACATTTCACAGTTCACACATCTCCTATCACGAATCCATGATATGATCATTGTAAAATTAGTTTCCATTCTGAATCTTGAGGTGTTGCTTGTTGTCTTCAGTAAAAGCTGTGTATCATTGGCTGTATCGTCTTTGCAACATGTAGATCCAGATGTGACTTTTCCTCTTGGAAGTTTTTGTAGCCTGGAAGAAGGCAAAGTTCTTTATATGCCTAGTTATTGATATAGTTAATTAAATTGAGCTATTTCACACAATTAAAAAAAAAAAAAAACCTATTTTCCTCCCCCAGTTCTTATGCCCAGAAGATTACAACAGAAATTGAAGGGAGAGTCCATGTTTATATGAGAACAGAGTTGGCAGAGGATTTGCTATTGGTTTGCGAGCAGGTAAATCCCCATTCTCCGCTCAGGCCTTCTCCCCCTGTTAATATTCCTGACCAATTAGCCTTATTCAATATAAATTATAACTCTAGACTGTAGAGTTCTTTGCATATTAAGCCACAACTTAAATGAGTAGCAAATTAGCAATATTCGAATCTCTGGTACTTGTTCCAATGTAGTTTTATTTTTACACCCCCTTTTCACTGTTAATTGTTGATTAAAGTTTGGGAGTACATACATGATCTATTTAATTTTTAGATGTTTGATATGGCCATCGTCTTTACTCATCACTTTTATCTTATTACAACAGTCTGCCGTTTGCCTTTCTTCTATAAAAATTTGGTAGTAGGCTTTTTATCGTTCCTCTAAGTTATACTTAACCACTTGTGTGGTTCAGCAGATTTTTGAAGGGCAGTGTACGCCGCTACCTCCATTCATCAGCTGAAAGAAGACTTCTCGCACTCGTAAATGCATTAAGAGACTCTTGGATCATAGCTGTATATATGTCTGATATTTTACACGTAATTTTTTAACAACCCTTAGTATCTTAGCAGCTAAATGCTAAGTTAGGAACGATTGCCAGATTCCACTGGCGTAATCTTTTACATTTGAAGAGTTAAAGGAGCTTTCAAATTTCACAGGAAGCCATTAGCTCTAGCAACTAATGCTCATATATTGATTCTAAAGTCTTAGGCATTTTCAAACTTTCACCAGTCTGATTAGCAACTCTTGATGCTTTTGCTGGATTATAATAGAGAATATTGCCAGTCATCCAAGAGTGTTTGGATAAGAATAGAGTATCGCCTTTTGTTGTAGAAATTACTCTGTGCTTGTGTTATTTATTTGTATCCAATATACAGTTACGAAGTATGAGTACTTATTTAACGATTCTATATATGAATGTATGTAGTCTAGTTTTAAAATACGTAGTTGCACTTGCACAGAAATATATGACATATACGTGGTCTACCACCCCATGATATGCAGCAGCAGCAGCGGCAGCAGCAGATAATTAAAACAACAAAAGAGACTGAATTTATATATAAGGCTCTCTTACCTTCCTACTTTCTCAGGGCAACCATATAGACAGAGAGAGATCCATCATTTTATTTGTTTGATCACTTCCAAACACATACTATACAAACAGCTACTCACTACAGAAAGACAAACAAATAGATTGTTCATTGTTCTTCGTTCGATTGATCATATCTAGAGTTATAATCATGTCATCATCTAAAGATAAAAAGAGGGCTGCTTTGGAAGAGAAATACCAGCTCCTCAGTTCAGTCACCAACTCCAACGCTGTATGTGTATTGTGCTCATTTTTATTCTTTTTTCACATAAACTAGCTTAGCTCCTTTTATATGTTGTTTCTCTATCTCTGATCTTTGTTTTTTTATCTATATTTATTTTGATTCAAGTAGAAAAATAATTATTTATAAACAACAAATAATTAAAACACAAGCCCTTTATTGACATTTATTTTTTTCATCAAGTGTTTTGAGCTAATCATTTTGTGGAAGTGCGCCAAAAATTATGTAATTGAAATTGAAGCTTTGAAGAGAACGCAAAGCTTCAATTGGAGTTAGAGTACGTAGACGACGATTGTAGAGTAATGCATACGTACTCACTCTACATGTCAAAAATTGTTGTTTTTTTTTTTTTTTGCATAGCTGTAGGCTCATTTGATTATGTTGCATAGCATGTTATGTGCTACATGTATTCATTAGGTTATGAGTCAAGTGGATTTGCAATGACAAGTTTCGTTGTGATGCCTTAGCTCTCACTCACGACATGAAAGCTATGCAGATCTATCGTATGTAAGTTAAAGTAGGCCTAGTTATTGAACGGGTTGGAGATTTTCATGAATCTCTTGTTGTCCCTCCCGCGGTTAGCTTGAAATTAAGCTAAGTGTACCATTACATTATGATGTTTCAGTAATGATGAGTACTAGTTGGTACTTGCTAATTAAGTAAATGCATGCCACCAGTGCCTTAACTCTATGATTTGCTCTCAAGCCTCTCATTTGTTCAACTTATAGAACTAGTTAGAAAGTTTAAGGTGTTTAGGAAGTCTGCTGGAGGAAGTTTAAGGTGTTTAGGAAGTCTGCTGGTTTCCTCCACCTATTAGGATGTTATGTTGGTATTGTATAAGTAGTCTATTGATGATCAACAATAATGAGAGACTATGCGAGTAACCTTTACTTTGTAATTTGTACTCCTTCCGTTCTATAATAAATGATACAATTAAACTTGACATACTTATTAATGCTAGAAATTGTGAATGTTCAAGGGTGGGGTGGGTGAATAACTTCCGATGTGTTTGTGGGAAATTGTATTCTCATGAATTGTGACTTCCTTCATTTTTACGTTTTTAAAGTCAACCAAATATCATAGCTAAAAGAAAATTTATGGGAAATTAGAGTGCCTATTGGAATTAAGGGCAACCAAATGATACGCAAGTGTGTCAATTATCACGGAGGGCGTATCTATTTAAGAATGGTCGAATAAAACAAATGATGCATGAATACATAGTATAAGATTCGAAGGAATGTACTCGGTATATGTATTCTCAAAAGTTGTAATATCTCTATAGTCAAACAAACTCAAGTTGGAACCAATAAAGTCTTGACTCACTTGGTAAGGTTCTTACTTCTAATCCTAGAGATTTAGGGTTCAAATCTTACCAAGTGAGGGTACTTGGACGTAGGGATTCCCTTACCCTCCCCTTGAGTCTCGTCAGGGTCCTCTTTATCAAAAGAAAAAAAAAGAGTATTATGTTAAGGAGCCCAACTTAAAAGCCTACATGAATATGGGTCATTTGTAACGGGCCTTAATATCCAGCGTATTAGTAATATGAATGTTAGATTTTTGCATTTAATTAGATTAAAGAGTACAGCCCAATTTCAGAAGAATATGTTGGAACTAAAATAACCCAATCCTGCTCAGAATTCCCCTTGCTTGCAGCCTCCGGTCCAAGTTTTTGCTCACGCAGTGGGATTAAGAGCTGCCAAATTAGGTTATTGATTCAGGTTCAAATACGTTATGGTCTTGTGGACGGGTTGGGTCATCTTGAAATTGGATTAATGTTTGGTCAGTATTTTCATTTGGTTCAAATTAGCTCGGTTCGAGACCAATGGTGGATGTAGAATATTTAGTGTGGAGGGATGCTAAATAAAAAAAATAAAAAAAATGCTTGTATGAAGACTTGAACCTAAGACTTTTAGTTCAAACTCATTGCATTACCACTAGACAAAGTTAATTTAATGTTATTTATTGCATTAAAATTGTATTTAATCTATAAATTTCTACCTTTACCAAAATAAAAAAAAATAAAAAAAATCAATTTTTGGCGGGGCCGGTGCCACCCGAGCCCCTTAATAGGTCCACCTCTGTTCGAGGCACTTCAATATGGGTGAAACTTGATAAATTATTGTTTCAAGTTCTATTCAATTTAGTTATGGGCTGTATTTAGTTCGGGATACTCATGGTATGGCTTGAGTTGATATTGGACCGGAAGTTTTGAATGAGCTTGTGACGTTATATTTTGAGCTCGATTCAACTTTAGTTCGGTTGAATACATATTGGATTCGGATGAACTTTTGACCAAATTACTACGGGTTCTAATCAAAGTTCATATTGTATAAGTCTCGAATATTGGTCAAGTTCATATCACATAATTCTCGTGTATGGATCTAATACAGATCAGTTGATCTTCAAGTTCGGGTCAAGTTTGGATAAGACAAATCTCATGTTTAGAACAAATTTTATTAGATTGGGTCAATTACATTTTTATCAGTTTACTTTCTTATTATCAGGCGGGTATAGGTTCAGTTCAGTTTAAATGTATATTAGATACAAATTAGTGCCTAAAGTCAGTGGCGGAGCCAGGATTTTCAACTTGGGGGACAAAATCGTACACCGAATCTTCCTCTAAGTATTGGACTCATTTTCGTTGGACCCATTTTTATTGAGTTTCGTTCTTTTAAACAAGAATTGTCGAAGATCGGGTTGTTTAGTTGCCTTGGATTTGTTTGAATTTGGTGAATCTTTTGACATTTCCTAATTAAATTGAAAATTATATATCAATTTCCACAATCCACATCATTACATAATAACAAAACCTAAGATTCTAATTTCTAAATTTCTAATTCAACTATACATTTCAATAATTTAAATTCTCAAAAACAGGGGAAAAAAATTAAATACCAATAATTCAGAGATTAAACAATTCAATTTTCAATAAGTTCAATACTTCAAAGTTCAAAACTTCAATACCCACAAATCAACAAATGACAAATCCACAATCATTCTCAATCGAAATTAAACAAGTTGATATATACAACAATTTCATCAATTAAACAAGTAATAAGTTGAAATTCGTCTTCAATACCCACAAATGACAAAATCGTCAAATCCACAATAATTCTCAATCGAAATTAAAAAAGACTAACAAGTAATAAGTTGATATATACAACAATTTCATCAATTAAACAAGTAATAAGTTGAAATTCAGATTTACATACCTCCATTGATTTGGGTGAATTGGGTCTAGCGAAGACCGGAAGACCGAAGACAGCAAGACACCCGCCACCAACACCGACACCGCACACCGGCGACACGAACTGTCGTCTGTCGAACTCCAAGTCGCGAACTGGTGATTTGGGTGAACAGAACCGGCGACGGGAGCAGGGGTGGAGCCAATAAAGGGCGGAAGACCGAAGACAGCAAGACACCCGACACCGCCACTGGACGGGAGAAGACGCGAACGAACCAACGAAGTGCCGCCGACGAGCCTGACTGCCTGAGAACTCTAAGTCTCCAACTTTCGAACTTCGAAGAGAGAGAAATTGAGAATTGTGAAAGTTAGGGTTTAGTTTTGCAATTTCTTTTCTTCTTCTTTCTGTCTCACTTCAGTTTTTTTTTTAATTTTTTTTCTTTAATTTTTTTTTTTTAAAATTTTTTTTTTGAAAATGGGGGGACAAGTGTCCCCACATGTCCCCTTCTAGCTCCGCCCACTAAAGTTATAGCTTTCTCTCTCCAATCAGCCACACGGTAATAATGTAACATCAAACTTTAATCTTTGGCATAATCCGGGCAAGTTATGGAACAAAAAAACGCGTACGTAGATTAAGGAGACAATTAAGAAAGGTCCAATGATTAATATCAAGATTATTAAGGTGGCAATACACATGCGTAAGTACCCCACCAAGTGACTAAGATTACATGTTTCAGTAGATAAAGCTATCTCCTATTACACTAATTAAGTAATTATCATCTTTATTATATTTTGTAGGGATATATACTTCATTAACTAATTGTCTCAACTAACTACCCTTTCTTTCAGTCTTTCTTTTCTTAGAAAGTGTAATTAGTCTCTAGTTAAAGTCATTGACTTTGTTTCTTTCTACATGCTCAATTATTTATAGTAATCTGACGCGGTTAAGCTTACATGAATCCATTTTCCTAAATATGTAACATTATTATCCTTGTTACATTTTAGCGAGATTACCTGTTTGTATGAATTATCTCGATATTTAATACTCCATTTGTTTCCAAAAAAAAAAACTACCCATTTTCTATATTATGTGTCTCAAAGTGTACCTACATAAACTTTTATATATAATGAAAATTGTTACTCCATAATGTTTAAAATTATACATTGAGAAGCGTGTCCAAAGAAAGACAACTCTATATTGTTATACCATTCTTTAGCAAAGTTGTTTTGCATGGAGACAGTACAAATACAGCTAAGTTACAACGAGTAGGATTCTTTGGCCACATTCTCTTTATCACAAATTGATACGTGTAGCTAACTAACTTTTTAATGAAATGCTAGCTATAGATCTATTAATTAAACACGATAATAATATATTATCACTAATTAATTAGAACATGAAAAAGCTTTTCTTATGCCCCCCTAAAGATTAATGAGTCACTTAAATAATTGATTACAAGCATAATAAGTATTAGTTTACGTTATTTTAAATACAATCCTTCTCTTAGTCCATTTTTTTTTCGTTGTTTACATTTTGTAGGGTCTTTATATCACATTATTTATCATTAATATCTATATTTTCATGTTAGTATATAAAATTTTCAACTTGCATATTTACTTTCTCTATATAATTACTTCATAATACATTATCTGATCTTTAGAATTTGATACTAATAATTTGGCGAAAAACCCACATTTTTACTTGATGAGTGATGTACAATTGGTTTTGCCTCCACTCAAGCTTGACAAAATTAGACACTCCCTTCATTTCAAACTAGGTATTCTATTTTACTTATTAATGTCAAAGCTCATCAACTCTTTAAATGTATCATGAACCACGCAACATTGTAGCATACATAATCAAATTAATGATCAAATATGTGTAATGAAGTTTATAATAAGACAAGTGGGGCAACTAACTATATAGAAAGGGCCCATAAATATAGTAAAATACATCAATTATTGTTTAGAATTACAAATCATAGTTATTTTGAAATATTCATTTTATAAAAAAGGGCCGGGGAAAATAAGTAAAATAACAATACGATTAATATAGAATTATAGACTACTCCCCTGAAATTATGGTTTTGGTGAAATATCTTTAGTTTACATGTTGGAGCTTGTTAATTGGAGAAAAACCATGAAAATTGCTTACATTTATATAATGGACTGACCACGCACCCACGAAAAAAATCCTCTTTGCCTTTTTAAATTCTTCATTAAATCATCAGTGTGCGTACGTGTAAGAGTATTGGCAGGCGGCAGGGGAATATATATATATATATATATATATATATATATATATATATATATATATATATATATATATATATATATATATATATATATATATATATATATATATATATATATATATATATATATATATATATATATATATATATTTTTTTTTTTTTTACAGGAGGCAGAGGAATACAGAATCAATGGCTTTGATAGGAGGCAAAAATGCGTTATGTTGCAACTTTATCCGTTGAAGGTAATTAAGGGGGTGTTTGGTATTGGGTTTTTTATAGGGGTGGAAACGGAATCAGATTACCGTTTTTATTAGAATGTGTTTTATTAATGAATTTAGTAACAAAAATCGTTTCTTGATGATATCCCATTTCACCACTTTGTTTACATAAAAGAATTTACATGATGTTGAATTCTTTAAATTTAATTACCATAAATCTCTATTTCCAATGGGTAACGTACGTAGATAGAATTGCAATTTGATCTACTTCTTTTATAAAGTACTGTACTATGTAATGAATAAGTTGAAGGAAATGTGTTTAGCCGTGAGCCCACAATATCATGGGGATAAAAACTACATGTATCGATTTAGATTATATTAAGTCTTGATCAGTCTATAGACTTAGCGTTTGGTGCATTTCGATCAAGTTGTGTCAAATACTATTTTGTATATCTTAGGGAGACACGTTAAGCAACTATATCAGGTAATATCAAAATGAATATATGACAATAGGACAAGTATTCTATAAACCATGAATGTAAAGTCACCTTCCAACCAATCTTTTGATATGGAATATTTTTTTAATCACCCATACGCGACAAATATATAAGAAGTATATATGCGACTACAGAGTACTCCCTATATATCAATTTCGGTCTAAATTGGGGTACAGTCAGTCCGTAACTTCACTTCTATAAATATAAGCCAACACAACGTAACTTATTATTTAGCCAACCGAATAATTTCGTCTTTGCTGACTGGAATTGTTCACATCTTTATGTTGTCACCCATAATTATTGTTCAAATAAAATTAAAAAAAAAAATTATGTATATTTATACACGCCTCAAACCAACCACTGTTATCACAATCACTTAAGAGAGCAAGCAAATTAAATTTTCTTTTACACAGCTTTCTTAACTTCGTATTACACACTTTATTTATAATATACCATCTCATACCATAATACAAATGGCTTCCACATCAAAAATTTCTAGTTTTAAGCTTCAGTGTTGCATGTTTTTAGTACTAATTGGTGCAGCTACGGCTCAGTTATCATCAAATTTCTATTCAAGCTCGTGCCCAAATGCGCTCTCCACAATCCAATCCGCGGTTCAAGCTGCTGTGAAGAATGAGTCTCGTATGGGAGCATCCTTGCTTCGACTTCATTTCCATGATTGCTTTGTTAACGTAAGTCTATATTATTCAACACTTGTTCCATTTATACAAATAGTTTTTTTTTGTTTTTGTTTTATTTGTACATGCAATTTTCTGTCTTCTAATTAAGTTTATAGTTGATCCATGATCATTTTTCATGCAATTCTAAATGCTAAATTTTCGTTTTGATATGATGATACGATCATATCATTATTATATAAAATCAATAATTCAAAGAATCATTATTATACAAATTCAGTACTTCATAGAAGTATTAAGACATATATGGTTTATATAGATTATATACTTAATATAAATTTAATATTTTAAATAAGTTATTAAGATTGATTATGACATATATGGTTAAAGTATAGTTTGTACATGACACCTTGAAATGAATGATTGGAAATAACTATGACTGAAGAATTAATTATTATTGGCCAACTAATACCCCATAAAATGCTCAAAGAATCAAGAATTTCACATTTTTTTTTGTTGCTCCAATTCAGTCCATATTTTGAAATAGTTAATTAATTGACTTTTAATATTTACATAGTGATGGATAACAAATATAGTAATATCAAAATGTTACACGAATTATTATCTATTTAAGTGTTTTATATTACATTGCATGCATGTGTAGTAGGATGTTCATTGGAAGAGAATTATACTTGCTTTCTCTTTAATTTGACGGCCTTAACTTTTTTGAAACAATATATTTACTTGTCTACATGTGGATGATCAATAGGGATGTGATGCTTCAATTCTACTCGATGACACTGCAAATTTCACCGGAGAAAAAACAGCCGGGCCAAATGCAAACTCAGTGAGAGGTTACGATGTAATTGACACAATAAAATCACAAGTTGAGAATGTATGTGCCGGTGTTGTATCTTGTGCTGATATCTTAGCTGTTGCTGCTAGAGACTCCGTGGTCGCGGTAAGAATTTTATAAATGTATGTTAAAGGAAAGTGACGTACTTGATCTAATCATATTATTTACTTTTGTTCCATAATTTCAGCTTGGTGGGCAAAGTTGGACAGTGCAATTAGGAAGAAGAGATTCGACAACAGCAAGTCAAAGTGCAGCAAATGTGAATGTTCCAGCCCCAACTTTGAATCTTTCCCAACTCATTACATTCTTCTCCAACAAAGGCTTTACCACCCAAGAATTAGTGGCTTTATCCGGTATTTATTCAATTTTTATCCCCCTTTTTTTTGACACATTACTTTCTTACATTCTTTATATATTAGACACACATTTTAGAATTTTTTTTATCCTTTGATAGTTTGATTTTTACAACTGTACCTATTACGAAGTATTATAATAAAATGCTAAAGATTTAAGGCATAATTAGCAGAACGCCACACTGTAATAATAGTATCTAAGATTCTAAATAAAAACTTAGGATGTTTTGCGAGCTTCTAATACTAACAGGTGGCATATATACACTTTATAGTATTAATCTTATCAAACTTTGCATGGGTGATGAGTGTAGTATTACTTAATATATTCATCTCATATCATGTATACTTCTTTTTTTTTTTTTTTACTAATGTGCTTTATTTCTCCATCATATTGTAGGTGCTCACACTCTAGGCCAAGCAAGATGCACTAGTTTCCGAACACGAATCTATAACGAAACTAACATAAACTCTACACTAGCAACATCTCTACAAGCAAATTGCCCTAGTAATGGAGGCGACAACAACCTATCACCTCTCGATAAAACAAGCCCTACAACGTTCGACAATGCGTACTTCACCCTCTTGTTGAGCCAAGAAGGTCTTCTTCACTCCGACCAACAATTGTTTAGTGGGAACGGTGGAACAACTGACTCTCAAGTCTCATCTTATAGTTCGAGTTCTTCGACATTCTTCACGGATTTTGCCAATGCTATGGTTAAGATGGGTAACATGAGTGTTCTTACGGGCACAAGTGGAGAAATTAGAACTAATTGTAGGAAGACTAACTGATTTAAAATTTAAGTTTAAACTCAAAAAAAAAAAAAAAAAAAAATTACTTAAGAGTTTTAATTTTGTGCTTGATGTATAGTATATATATTTTTAAGAAAAATGGGAAATATTGGGGTGATTTATGATATTTGTATGGATTACTGAATTGTGATATAATTTTAATGTAATTATTGTCAAGCTTCATCATTTTAGTAAAGATTGGTTATTTTTGTGAAGATTATTTTGCAAGTTAACTCTTTGGTATTATAAATTGATTGTGGTCCAACTAGTTTGGTATGTAACTATTGTAGCTAACTACATACAAAGGCCCATTTATAACACTATTTTATTGGGCTCAATGATAAAGGCTACATGAATCATCTTGAAAAGTTTGACACTACAAGTGCAAAACCAAGTGCATTTTTTTAGGTGAAGGGTTTAGAAAATATAAGTTTATCTTCATGATAAACAAAAAAGTGTTTATCTATTGGTATATTTGTAGATAAGTTAACAATTTTTATTTATGAAAATGTCATGTTGACTGGGATATTTTATTGATTTATTTACAGAAATGATATTAGATAAACGATTTTTGTTTATCATGAACATAAATTGGGGCTCCCTCGAAGGGCCCAATACTTTTTAATGTTCCAAAAGTTGAAAAGTTTGTAGAAATAAACGAATCTATATACCTATGTTAAAATAGAGTTTTTTTTGGAGGAAATTTTACCTTTTAAACTCTACTTTTTTTTTTTTTTTTTTTTGTTAATTTTTTTAAATTTTTGCAAAATTATTAATTTTCCTATAAGTTTTATTATTTAATTATTATTGTTATGATAAACTTTTATTTAATATTTTTTAAGAGACTACTATATTTGAATTTCAATAGCATTATTTTTAAAACCGAGCATGGCTCGGAAATTATTTAGTGGAATATATATAATGGATTAACATGACGTTCTATGTTAACTTGAATGCCTGATAACGCTCTTTCAAAAAAAAAAAAATGCCTAATAATGTTTTTTTTAGCTCAGTATACACCTCATGGGAAGTAATTCTAATATGGGTAAACTTAGAGCTAGGTATACCTTACACGGGTTACATGCACATGATGCACATACTACATAGACGTATAATGAACTCTCTACACAAGTTTTAAATTGGCAAAAACATCAAGTTTTGCAAAAATCTTAGTGAAATATCTAATATCCAGCAAATTATAAATTCAAAATAACGCGTATATAAAAGAGATAGTTGTATGGGGCCAATGAATCAAGAGTTTATTAGTAAGTTGTTCAAAACATGCGTTAGAACACCACAGGTGACTACATGACATGTTTTGATTTGTTGAAAAATCTACACCGAACCTAGTCCTACTAGGCTACTACATCAATTAAATAATCTAAATTTCCAATTTTAGGAAGTGTAGTGACTTAGTCTCTAATCAAAGCTCTTATTTTACTTCTGTTTAACTACTTTTAGTAATTAATTAATGCAATTGCTAATTATAGGAAGAGTTTTTGACGTAGTACCAAAGTACTGATTTTTCCCCTGCCCAACCATTTTTTTGTAATTGATGTGACTAATCTTTATTGCCAAAATTGGTAAGAAATATTATATGAAACGTATCTTAAAGACCATGAAAATTTAAATAGAGCAAAACATATATGAATGGACGGAGGAATATATACTTCATAACATAATTTCAGAAGCTACTTTAAGTGCATACTATAAGACCGTGTTGATTATGAGTGCGTACTATGAGACTGTGTTGATTATAAAACGAAAAAAAAAAAATTAATGTATTTTTAACTACTTAGAACAATTGAAAACCGAGCGACGCATAATTACAACAATTATTACAATAAAGAATCTAGTTAAACAGTAGTATATAAATAACGAAACAATTATTTTAAAATTATAAAATCAATCAATTAATCAATCAATCAAAACCTTAATCCTATAAGTGTGGTTGATTACATGAATCAAAAGTGATAATTTCGCGTAGTCATCGACAAAAATCTTCCTCCTCCATCCCTTACGATCCAGTGCCTCATCCTCATGCAAATCCATATACTTCATATTCTTCTTAACTCCTTCCAACCAGTCATTTTCGGTCTCCAGGCCATCTCCCTCGTTTAACCCCACCATGGTCCCACTCTTCAACTCTTTGCACCGGTGCACCCTCGGGTCTCCGTCTTACATGCCCAAACCAACGCAGGCGATTTTCCCTTAGTTTGTGTGCAATGCCCTTACACACTTATATTCTTGCGAATAACTTCATTTCTGATTATATCTCTTAAAGTGTTCTTGCACATCCACCTTAACATGCACATTTCCGTAACCTCCATTTTTTAAATGTGCTCCTTTTTAGAAGCTCAACATTTTGTACCATAGAGCAACACTGGTGTTATGGCAATCTTGTACAATTTTCCCTTCAACTGTTAGGGAATGCTTCGGTCACATAACACTCCCATGGCTGCTCTCCATTTAAACCACCCCGACTTAATCCCTTGGGCCACGTCTTGATCAAAGTCACCAATCTTCTAGATGATTGACCCAACATGTTTGAAACATTCACTCATTGTCAAGTCCTTTCTATCCAAATTCACCACATCATTATTTTAATTTAAAATTATACTTTGCCTTTTATTTTCCCTTTCTTTTTTCATCTTTAATAATTTTGTGCACTTGCGTAGTGGATGTTTTTACTTTGTTGTAACAACAAATCATTCTTTGATGAGTAGAAAGAATGCTACGTGTATACAATATGTCCACTCATGAAATCCTCTTAGAAGTAAGAATTGTAAATCATTGAGCTATTCATAGTTTGCATATTGTTTGGTCGCAAATTCTTTATTGGAATTATTTTTTAAACTTTATGCTTAATATTCTACAGTAATTTTTAATTCTTAATTGAAAATTACACAGATCTACTGTAACTAAATCACAAATGAAATATTTCATCCTCTTTTGAGTATATTACTATTTACTAATTTTGGTTCCGTTAGTTACAAGTATTAAAAAATGTTTGTGGTTTTGATCATGCCTCTATGCATCATAATCTTACGTTTAGAAATAGAGGAAATTAAATAAAATGGAGATATCATGTTCAGTATAAATAACTTCAATTCAGTAAAATTAAAGTGAATAGAATATGTTCTAATTTATAAACAACTTAAAAAGAATATAAACATATAATTTGATTTGAAAGAGTTTGTCATGAATTATTATTGTAACACAACTTGCATGGTATTTATTACAAACCTAATTTAGTGAGCGATGAAATATTGACTAGAATAATTCCTCTTGGTATTATCACACACGTATATATGTACGCATTCTTCCTTCGAAATCAAGCCAACTACAGACAATAACAATAATAATAATAATAATAATAATAATAATAATAATAATAATCTATACACTTATTTTCTCTTATACACTTATCCATAACACAAATGGCTTCTCTATTGTCTTCCACATCAAAACCTTCCGGCTTTAAGCTTCAATTTTGCTTGCTTTTGGCACTTATAGGAGCTGTTACGGCTCAGTTATCATCGAACTTCTATTCAAGCTCGTGCCCAAATGCGCTCTCCACAATTCAATCTGCAGTTAAAACTGCTGTAGGGAGTGAGGCTCGCATGGGAGCATCTTTGCTTAGGCTTCATTTCCATGACTGCTTTGTTAATGTAAGTAGCTAAGTTTGAATATGTGTTTCAAGGATCAATATAGTACGTACGTTGATGTTCATCCATAAGATTTCTTTTCATCTACTACGTAGTTAAGTTTATACTACTATATGATTAGTTCAACTCTTGAGCTTGAAACAACTCTTTTCTTAACCAAATAAAAAAAAATCTCCATGGATGTTTTCTTAGCTTTTTAAGCTTAAACAAGTATATGATTATAATTAAAATTTTAAGTACTCCGTAACATCAGTAAAATTTTTGAATTGTTAATTGGTTATGACATGCACACGTACCATACTCCGTAGTTATTATTTATTTGGGTTTAGTAACGGTGTGCTTTTTTTATATTTTCTATCTGTTTTTTCTATTTAATTAGTTGCAACGATTTGACTTTTACTTTTATCTTCAAATTTTGAGATAAGTGTAACAAGATCCCACATACTTGTATATGACTATGTTTTCTCTTTAGTATAAATCACAAAAGGTGATTTTCCGGCCACAATCAAGTGAATAGTGCAAAAAACAAAAAAAAAAAAGTCGCAACTAATGAAAAAATGAAGTAACACAATAAGTTAAAAGATAAAGTAAGACACAAATGACTACACGCACAATACTTAAAATAGTTTTCCTTTTAGGGAAACGTTTAAGTTTCTGGATAGTTTTCAAATCACAACCGTTTAATTTTATTGACTAATGTGAACGGTTGATATAATTTATATTTTATTTTATTTTGAAAAAATTGTCCAAAACAAATTTTTAAAAAAAATACTACTCACGTTCTTATCGGTTATGTTTAAGTTTCTTCTTTATTTACTCTGTATTTTTTCCCCTTTACTTCTCTTCGATCGTGATCCATGTATAGTACGTGATTATAACGATTGACTCCAAGTTCAACCATTATTGTCGTCTTCACTGTAATTTTCTTGAATCCACCCTTCGCTTTACTCAATATTTTTTCCCCATTACACTAGCGAAATCGCCACACAGTGCTATGGATCCATCGTTATGAGAATTAAATTAATTAAGTGAAAATCATTGACGTACAATAAGTATAAGGATAAGAATAATAGGAGCTTACCTTTTTTCGAATTTTGCGCATAGGACTACTGGATGGCATTTGATCGACTCTATTTTAGCCTATGAATATGGCATTCAAATAGAGTTGATTGAATTAAAGAGTGCTACTGTTCGATTTTTTCTTGATTACAAGTACTTGATGCATTGGCAATATTAAAAATTACAGGAATTTGGTCTTTATACTTTAACTGACAGTATTTCTAATTGTTTGGTCAATATATTTTTTTTTTCTTTTTTTTTATTTTTTTTTTTATTTTTTAATTTAGTGTATCCACTCTTCACATTAGTCAATAGAAATAAACAGCTGTGATTTAATTTTAATTGTGGCTACTCAAAAGTCATCCTAAGTGTCTTGCATTCTAATATATACACACTAGATCAATTAAAAATCGTCCAACTATAAACTTTTAACGTATATATGTGTATACAAGTATATAGTAGAGTAGTACGTTGGAAGCGAGCCCATAACGTCATACACGCTTTAATATTTAATTTGTAGCCTATAATGATAACCTTAATTAATCAAGTTAAGAAGTTTGTTTGTCTTCTCTTTGTGATTGACAGGGATGTGATGGTTCAATTTTGCTCAACGACACTTCAAACTTCACCGGAGAAAAAACAGCAAGACCAAATGCTGGTTCGGTGAGGGGTTATGAAGTAATAGACACAATTAAGTCTCAAGTTGAGAATTTATGTCCCGGGATTGTATCTTGTGCTGATATTGTAGCGGTCGCTGCTAGAGACTCAGTGGTTGCGGTAAGTATGTGTTTCAATTGTTTTCATCGATCATAAAGAAATTTCTAATAATAATTTGATTTAGCAACTTGATTTATTTCTTTTTCGAATCACAATTATAAATTCATCCATCAACCTTATTAAACATGAAATTTCCAATTGTTGCTTTTATTATATGTGACACTCCAATAGTCCAATGACCAATCTCTAAATTATTTTTCATTTTTCAGCTTGGTGGACCAAGTTGGACAGTACTGTTAGGGAGAAGAGATTCAACTACAGCAAGTCTTAGCTCGGCTAATTCCGATATTCCTGCCCCAACTTTGAATATAAACGAGCTCATCAAATCTTTTTCAGACAAAGGCTTTACTACCCAAGAAATGGTGGCCTTATCTGGTATTTTATCCAATTCATTATTTTTTTTTTTAAAAAAAAAAAAAAAAAAAAAAAGGGTACGAGTCAACTCTGTAGGGAAATGATGTACAAAAATTGAAACAAACGTACATGCATGCATGTGCTCATGAACTTAATATTGAATTAGAATATGCAATAAGCCAATAATGGACATGTATTATATCCTATCATGAAATATATTCAATGTGGCATTACTAGTGAAATTTTATTTCATCTAAAGTTGTACCGTATTTCTTTCATTGTAGGTGCTCACACTATAGGGCAAGCAAGATGCACCACTTTCAAAACACGTATCTATAACGAAACTAATATAGACTCCACATTTGCGACGTCTTTGCATGCAAATTGTCCTCAGAGTGGAGGAGACAACAACCTTTCGCCACTTGACAAAACAAGTGCAACAACGTTTGACAATGCCTACTACACCAACTTGTTGAGCCAAGAAGGTCTTCTTCACTCCGACCAACAATTGTATAATGGAAATGGTACCGGAACCACGGACTCTCAAGTCTCGTCCTATAGCTCGAGTTCTTCAACATTCCTCACTGATTTCTCGGATGCAATGGTGAAGATGGGTAACTTGAGTGTACTTACTGGCACGAATGGAGAAATTAGAACTATTTGCAGCAAAACCAATTGATTTTACTACGTATATGGTTGACACTATGAATATTTTTGTATACTTACTACAACTATTGCATTTGAGTTGTAAGGAAAGATGATATCTTTTTTTTTTTTTTTTTTTTTTTTTTTTAAAAAGTTATGTATTGTGATATTGATTTCTTTACCTTATTTTTTTTGGCCTCAATGAATTGTGAATTATTGCTATGTATTCCTATACTCGCATTATTGGTAATTATTAATGAAACATATTAGTGTGATCTTGAACGATATTTTTTTGAAGTTTTTTGTTTTTATTTATGTTTTGGATCTATTTGTTCCTCCTTTTTTTTTTTTGATGCAATTATGTGTTCCAAAGTTACGGCCACCTAAGTGTAATTGTATCATTTAGCTATTTACATTTTTAGTTAAAAGAACACGCTACATACAAAATCGTCTTAAATAGTTTGAAGGCCTTGTACTAAGCTATTTATAAAATCGATCATTCCCTGAAACTGAAAAAACTTGCGCAACGTTGTATATATTACTCGTAATATATAAAATTATATTGGTCCATATTATTTATGATAATACTATCTTGCTTTACAATGAGTATCTACCAAGTGTTTAATACAAATCATATACCATGCATATTGGTATATATATGGATGATACCTTGGATAATACCATTGGTAGGTTATTCCTATTTCTTAGTAGCTAGTTGTTTCACATATATACATTGATACATAGTATGTCATATAGTCTTAGTTTACTAGAATACACATAGTCTTCCTTAGTTTACTAAAATACACCACACCTAAAGCACAAGTAGAATCCTTTTTATATATATATGTAAGGAAGTTTAAGTTTCTTTCGGTAATCCCATATCTCCTTAGACATCAAAGAGAGTTGTGATTATATCGAAAATCTTCTCTTCAATCAAGGTTGAAGCATCAGTGTTGGTCTTCCAACAACTGGTTCTGATTTCTCCATTTGTGCCCGTAAGAACATCTATGTTGCCCATCTTTATCATTGCATTGGCAAAGTCTCTGAAGAATGTTGAAGAATTTGAACTATAAGACGAGACTATAGAGTCTGTTGATCCGGTACCATTGAACAATTCCTGGTCGGAGTGAAGAAGATCTTGTGAACTCAACAAGTTATTGAAGTAGACATTATCAAACGTCGTTGGGGTTTTGTCGAGTGGCACGGTGTTGTTGGCCCCTGACCCATCACTAGGGCAAGTTCCTTGTAAAGATGAAGCAAATGTGGGGTTTATGTTGGAGTCTTGTGAGAGGCGATTTTGGAAATTGGAGCATTTTGCAACACCAATAGTGTGAGCTCCTACAATAGATCATCAATAATATAAACAAGATTAATCGATTGAAGTTACTCGCTTCATTTACTTACACTTGTTTCCCATTGACTTTCACGCTACATCAATATAAATGCATAACTTTGATTATTAATATATACACCGGTATTTGATAATTTACACGTAGAAAAAGTGTGAAATAAAGTAGAGATGTTGAATTATTAGTCGATAAAAACCTGATAAAGCAACCAAATCTTGTGGATTAAGTCCATGGTCAGAGAACATTTTAGTGAGCTGGCTTATATTCATAGTTGGAGCAGGGAGATTGACATTAGCTGCAGTTAAATTTGCTGTAGTTGAATCTCTTCTTCCTAGTAGCACGGTCCAACTTGGTCCACCAAGCTGAATAATAATGACGCAAAGTAATTATAAGTTTATAACTACTACGTAATACGATTAATAATAAAACAATCTCACATTACTGACTTTTGTACTATTCACATATTCTCATTTTTACCATAATTTTTTTAGGAACTAAGAAAATAAATTACCGTTACTTAAGGTAGGTTTTTAACATACTCAATATTTATCAACTTGCAAAACCTTAAGCGGAGGTAGTACACTACTCCAAGTAAGTAACATTTTTTTCATACGAAATACAAAGTAAGTAACAACAAATATCAAAATAAATGACAGCCATAATTATATGCAAATGACAGCCATGTACTTCTACTTGATTAGTGATTCGTTAGTGATAGGCATCTACGAAGTTGCAAACTACCTATTTCAAAATAAATGTCCAAATCAAAGTCATTTGACGTAGTTGAAAAATTCTCTAACTTTTTAATTTTCCCTTTACTCAAATGATATTTGTCCTCAATATATACTTCGTACATATGTATCGCTAAAAATGACAATTTTCTCTAAAGTTATGTTTACCTTGATTTATTTAACTAGATTAAATCATTCATAAGTATTTATAATTTTATGTAAAAAACATTAATACGTTATAGATGTATATAAAATTTCTAGTATTGTTAGGATGATGGAATCGTGATGATATATATTCTATTGACGACAAGTACTCAAGTAGTGAGTACAATATGTTTATAGAGAATATTACTACGAGTATAATTTTATACCTCAACTACGGAGTCTCTAGCAGCAACTGCTAAAATATCGGCGCAAGAAACAACACCGGCACATATACTCTCAACCCGAGCTTTTATGGCGTCAATCACCTCAAAGCCTCTCACGGAATTAATATTTGGAGCTGCAGTTTTTTCTCCAGTAAAGTTGGCAGTATCGTTAAGTAAAATCGAACCGTCACAACCCTGTTGCATCCACATAGAGTGCAATTCTTTATGTCAAAATCATTTGGTGTATTATTAGACGTAACAACAAAGAACATGCATGTGATAATAAACCATAAATTGAAGAGGATGGTGAAAATAGAGGGAGCCCCAGTTTCCCATTATGAGAAACACTTTTGTTTCTCATAATGACATTTTGGAAAATAATGTGATGTTTTTCACTGATGAGGACTGCATATGTGTCATGAGTGGGAGCTCCAAATCTTGACACATACCCCATGAAAAACAGAGAATTAGCCGTGAAAATATCATAAAATCACATAACATCATATCAACTGCACGTTTATATTTGTAGAAAGTGTTCGTCGATTGTTGCCTTACATTAACAAAGCAATCATGGAAATGAAGCCGAAGCAAGGATGCTCCCATGCGAGCCTCGTTTCTCACAGCAGATTGAACAACGGATTGGATTGTGGAGAGTAAATTTGGGCATGAGTTTGAATAGAAATTTGGTGTTAGTTGAGCTGAAACTCCTCCAATGAGTACTAAAAACAGGTAACATTGAAGCTTAAAACAGAAAAACTTGGATCCCAAAGATGATAAGATAAACTTCATTATATTGGAACTCTAGGAGAAATAATAGTTATTATTGTTTGCTTGAATGCAATGATATATGGGTGGATAGTAGCATGTACTTATATATATATAGACAATACAAAGTGGAGTATAAAGTAGGGCGAGTAAAACTATTCGAAGATCCGATCCAATGTTTTAGGATATCTAGTTCGATACTAATTTCAATTCAGATCAGATATTCGATCCAAATTAAAATTTTAAAAATTAGATATCTATTTGGATACCAATTTTTGGATTTTTGGATATCGGATATATTCGAATAATATTTACAATATTTTGAAATTTAGATATCAGATAGCGAATATTCAATCCATATATCCAGTCGGGTATTAGATATCTGATCCAAATATCATATCTAGAAATCTGGGTTTTATTTTATATTTTTCTTACAAAAATTCTAAATTAAAAATCATTATATAACATTTCGGATATCTCATATTTGGTATATCTGATCGAAAAAATTTCGGATTGAATTCAAACATTCGATATCCCAAATTTCGAATATCCGATCTGAAATTCCCGTGCTCACCCCTACTACTCCTTCCATGTTTTTTTAAGTACTGCACTTGATTTTTTTCACTACTCACATAATGGTATTGACTTAATTATTTTCTTAATATATAAAAAAATGTTATTGTATAACACATTGTTGGATAATGTATACTTTTATTATATCAATTTTCTTATATTTTTTACTAGCATATAATTAGATAAATTAATAGTGAAAGACGTGCCTCATCATTCATGTTTAGTCAAAGTGTAACAACATTTAAAAAAACCGACAAAAAAAGTATAAAGTATGAATAGTTCTAGTCAGCATCAATATATAGCACGAGAAGAATTGGTTTACAAAAAACCAAGAAAACCTTTTCAAGTATGTGGACAACTCGATCACAATATGATGATACACTTACAATTTCGAGTATTTTGATTCATTGTCCTATTTAAACTATCTGGCTGGTAGTTTGTTCATCATTCTGACGTTAACTTAACAAACTTGATCATGTTCATTGTTATGCAAGAAAAATAATTATATTAAACAATCAAAGTTGTTGATTGTTAAGGATACGGTTTATTATAAATTTAGGTAGGTATCAAGGATTCACGGGTCAAATCATATGACACTTAGATACTTTGTTACTTTGTAGTTTGTATACTATATATGTTAATCAAGGTATCCAAGAATAGTTTAGATACATTGTTTATTTGTTTTTTTATGTGCATAACAATAGAGCATCAAGTCATTTCAAAATATTAAATTACTCAAGTGAAAAATATTGCTTATTTTAGCTTATCACAGGTGCTCCAAACTTTTTTTTTGTATGCCTTGTGTTTGAGACTATTCTTTGAACTTTTTTTTTTTTTTTTTTTTAATAAAGTAAAATTTGTTTAATTATTGAATTAACTTTAGTTCATTAGATATGAAAACCAAATGGCCAATGTTAAAGTTAGAACATAACTTGAGAAATCTCATCGTAGAAAGTTACAATAATTAAAGATCAGAAGAGTAATGCTTACTACTACGGAGTATCTCTATATGTTTGGAGTATGAACTTGTACTTAGGGGGTCACACCATTAGTTTTGGAATTTAATAAACTCGAGGTTTCTGTGGATTATTTTTCATTGAAATAAAAAATATTGGATTTATATATCATCTATGCTCATTTTAAATTAGGTTCTTGATCTTATGCATTTGCTTTTACTAATTTTTATACGTATGGATTAGTTACGTTAGTTACACACTTACTCAGTGTAGGATGTAGATAGGTTGCATATATATATATATACAGGATATATTTAAAACCAATAGATTTTACAAAATGATGAAATTTGAAACTTATTTCATACTTTCTCTGTTTTTATTAGTTAATATGTTTCTATTATCACTTTTGCCAATGTACAACTTTAACGATTGATATATCTAATTATCAAAATTGCAATATTATAAAAAATGGATATAATTAAAAGTTATATCGAGACGATGCGATTCAAACAAGATCCATGTGAATATGTTTCATCGTTACATCGTAGATATAAATAATAAAGCACAAAAGCTGATCAAAGTATAATTTATAAATAATGCCGCAAAAGTCAAAACGTGTCAACTAAAAAAACGAAGAGTGAAAATAAATTCTCTGTATATAAAACTCAAAGCCGTTACAAGATTACAAAGCATATCATAATATTCCTTAGTACATTAATTAAAATATTTAAAAACATACTAGATTATCATAAAACACACATATATGTATTTATTTTTCCTTAGCAATACCTTACATATTAAATATAGTTGTGATTAGATCGATAATCTTACTATCAATCGCGTTCAAACCAGCTGAGTTTGGCTTCCTACAATTTGTTCTTATTTCTCCACTTGTACCTGTAAGAACACTCATGTTACCCATCTTTATCATAGCATTGGAGAAATCCGTAAAGAATGCCGTCGAATTCGAACTATAAGCCGAGACTTGATTATCCGTGGTTCCAGTAGTATTACCACTCCACAATTCTTGGTCCGAGTGAAGAAGACCCTTTAGGCTTAACAAGTTGGTGAAGTAGGCATTGTCGAACGTGTTTGGGGTGGTCGTATCGAGTGGCGAAGTAGTGTTGTCACCTCCGGTACGAGGACAATTTGATTGTAAAGATGAGGCGAATGTGGAATTTATGTTGGTTTCATTATAGATATGTGATCGGAATGTTGTGCATCTTGCTTGCCCTATAGTATGTGCACCTGCAAGCAATACACAAATGTACGATGTTTTAATATATCATACATATGTAACAATATGAACTATGCATATAAAAAGTTTATTACCATATATATTTTTTAAACGTCGTCTTCAGAGATTTTAAATGTCACTCTGATCTTACAATAAATTATTATAAACGTGTCCATGGTTGAGCCAAACTAATCAATAAGTATATACCTGACAAAGCAACCAACTCTTGGGGATTAAAGCCATGGTTGGAGAACAACGTAATTAGTTGGTTAAGATTCATAGAAGGAGCAGGAAGATTGGAATTAGCTGCACTTGCATTTGCTGTTGTGGAATCTCTTCTTCCAAGTAGCACTGTATAATTTTGTCCACCAAGCTGAATTATGGAACAAATATTTAATAATTGTAAGTATACATGCCTTCTAATGTAAGTCTTGAAAAGTAAAAGTAATAAACAATAACATAATCAAAACCTTAATTTCATTAATTATGATATTTGAAAATTGATATTGCTTCCATCGATACGAATCTAAATATTTTTTCGTTTTATTTTATTTACTCGCAACACTTTAATATTTACCAGTATTTAATTTATATATGGAGTATTTTTGTTTGCCTATCTTTAATAACTGATATGTATGACAAATTATAGTCAAGGGGATTTTATTAGATTTGTCTTAATATATATTTTTATATTGTCAACATTATTTTTTTTAATTTTTACATAATTATAATTAAAATATATAATAGTAAAAGTTATAAATCGGCAAAAACATGCATGCATGAAAATCAAATGTACTATTGCAATTCGCAGGTAAAATGTAACCGAGGAAGTAATAAATCGAAGTGTATGATTAATTAAAGAGGAGTATCAAAGAGGAGTGTTGCTTGAGTATATATGGTCAAAAGTGAAAGCTAAAATAATAATCAGTATTATATGGGGGAAGTATTTTTTAACGTAACTACATTAGCTTTAAATTTTTTTTATTTTTTTTATAACTTTATCACAAGATAATCAGAGTTCTAGCTTTTTAGTGTTGTTTTTTTAATGATACGTCAATATATTACTCGTTAAGTCATCTTTTACAGCTATTTAGCTATAATAATGTATTCCTTTCATTCTATATAATACTACTTATGGTAGTAATATTCAAGAGAACTACTTTTAACGTACACTTAATTTTTACTATTCACCCTAGCTATTACTAAATATTACTCTTCTGCCCTTCTTTTAACACAAAAAATAATTAAATAAAAAAATAATACACGGAAATTCCATGTGTTTTTTCATAATGAAGTCACCTTCATTAACACCTACTCCATAAGATTTTTAAGACTTTATTACATGATTAATTACTTTAAAATGTGTAACCATGTGAATTGATGACTTATCGTGCTTACTCTTTATTTGAAGCCTATTAACTTTATATCTGACTACTATACATGAGATTTGACAAGTTTGGTGGATGTTCATAGGTTCATGTGTCAAATTAAATGATTGATATGAAAAGTAAGGAAATTTAATTTAATTCCAAGAAGACTAAATAATAGCATTTTTACCGCAACCACGGAGTCTCTAGCAGCAACAGCTAATATATCAGCACAAGATACAACACCGGCACATACATTCTCAACTTGTGATTTAATGGTATCAATTACTTCAAAACCCCTAACTGAACTTTGATTTGGAATCGCTGTTTTCTCACCAGTGAAATTCGCTGTATCATCGAGTAAAATGGAACCATCACATCCCTGTTCACCGTATAAAGTATAATTTGTCAAATAGTTTAACATGCAGGTAGTTTTAATCCAAATGAAAGAGTATATCTCTTCCTATAAAAAATTATATAGAAATTGCTAAAATTTCATCAAACATTCACTAAAATTGAAGTACGAAATTGTCTAGGGGTGACTTGGAATGAACCTTTCTTGGTGGAGGAAAGGTGTGACCTCTATAGTCGTATTTAGGGGTGACTTGTTACGCGTTGAGAAGACTATTTATTGGTATAAGTAAAAAAGGACTATAGCTTAGTAGGACCACTTAACGTTTGATATGTAACATTTTTTTTTTGTTCTTACTATCTATATATACACATTCGATGTGACAAGTAAATTAGGTTGATATAAGCATATAGAATAATATGTAGATATTTTTCTACTTTTTCGTTCAATGTTAATAATGGTATAAACCAATACATATGTTTAACCAATTCAAACACCTTAAACCATTGAACACCTTAAACGATTGACGTCAAAATAGTTCATGACGAAATTGGACCGACAAAGATGATCAAACGCAAACTTGTTGAACATTCCACAAAAATTAAGTATACTTGGATGAAATGATCAACTAATTCAAGAACATTATTAAAGGGTATTACAAGCATACATATTACTTCATATATATATATATATATACGTACTCCGTGTACTTTGTACGAAAAGTATTCAAGTGTTACTTACATTTACAAAGCAATCATGGAAATGAAGCCGAAGTAAGGATGCTCCCATGCGAGTCTCATTATTTATAGCAGATTGAACGGCCGATTGGATTGTGGAAAGCGCATTTGGGCATGAGCTTGAATAGAAATTTGGTGACAATTGAGCTGAAGCTACACCAATTAATAGCCAAAACAAGCAATATTGAAGTTTTGAATTGAAGAGCTTTGAACTAGATTTTGATAAAAAGGAAGTCATTTCTGCTATGATTTAATGAGCCTAGACACCGTTTTTGAATAAGAGGGAGGTGGAGAATTGTAAGGAAAGCAAAGGACTTAATTTATAGTAGCATCTAGTCTAAATTAAAGTGTGAACAATTTGAGTAAATTAAATATTCTAAGAAGAATGTTAGGTTAGCTCCAAATTCCAAGCAGAACCATAATTGTAGAAGTGGACAAAATGATATGTACTGTTTTGGATTAAATCATTAAGAGCAGTTAGATTTTTTTTTTTTCTTAATTATATTATTAAGGTGGCTTTATTTGAAATAGCTAACAACTAGCTAGGGAGTAAAATATATTTTCTTTTTTTAGGAAATGGAGTAGAAATATAATAATACTTATATTAGTACATACAATACGAGTATGTCTTTTGAGCTTTGTTTAGACTTTAATCAACTAAGCTACTCTCTCTTTTTTTCGTTTAGGTGTAACAATTATTTTATTTATTATTTTTTTTACACGAAGATACAACAATTTGACTTTTACAATATTCATATGTTTTACTTTGATCATATTATTTACTAGCATATAAAAATAAATATTAGTGTATAGATGTTTTTAGATTATTTTTTGATGTATATTTTCAGCAAATTCAATTTACATAATTTTATTAACAAATAATTACAAGTATTAATTGTCAAGATACAGATATTAGTAGTCAAAATTATACATTGATAAATATATTAATTAAATTATTGCACTTAACCTTAAAGTCTTAAACAAATATTGTAAGCCGAATCCATCAAATCAATCGCCATATAATTCCTACTTGGAACTGCTTTAAGCATGTGTCTTATTGGACATCAATTAATATAATTTTTAAAAGTAAACATTTATACATTGAGCATATTTCCACTTGAATGAGTACTTTTCAAATCAAATTTCAAATCCAATAACAACGTTTTACGAAATTTAGCCAGCTAAGAATTCATGAGAAATGAATCCTGTGAAAAGTCATTACATTTGTTAGAGACTTTGAGTATTCCTTCTAGAAAGGGAGGACCAAAATATTTGATAGGGTGTGTTTTTCTCCAGGTTAGATTCCCATAGTAACATTGTTTCTTTCTATCCTTGCTTTAAATTAAACATATATTTTTCATATATTAATATAAAAGTAATATCTTTAGAATATTTTATATTATTAAGAAAATGATTAAGTTAATATTATGTAGTACATTTAGGATAGTTCCTTAATATTATCTTATAAGAAGTCTTAAAGTGTTAGGATTGTTTCCTAGCTAATAGCCGAGATCTATTAGATTATCTCTTTTATATATATATATATATATATATATATATATATATATATATATATATATATATATATATATATATATATATATATTAGATTAACTTTGCAATTGTGCGGTCTCCAATAAACATTTTTTACCATGAATAACTCGGGTTGTGTATAAGTGAAAATTATAAAAAGTTGATATTTGGATTCTTTATAATAAGGGGAATCTAATAAGATCTCACATGCTAATTCATTTATATAGTATAACTCATAAAATGTGGTCAAAGTTATTTTATTTTGACCACATGAATAGTAAGTGAGTCGAACTCTCAGAAATGGCGGTAGTATATATATATATATAGAAATGGGATCATATAAGACCACATCCCTTATGTGAGAACCCTATTATATGTGAGGACTCATTATAACCGTTGGATCAATTACATCCAACGACCACAATTAATCCCGGTCAAACAAAACAATTTAATTTGAAAACAAATTCTTGCGTTTTTTCTCTCTCCTCCTCCCTCTTTCAAGCGTTCTTTTCTCTTTCCTCATTCAATTTCTCTGTTTTCTACTCTCTTTCTTTCTGCTATTCTCTCTGATTTTTCATCACTACTTCTTCAATCTTCATCAATTCTTCATCAAAGTGAGTTTATTGTTTATATTTTCGTGTTTTTCAATTCATTTTAGGTCACATTCAGTTACATTCATTGTTGATTTTTGTTTTGATTTTCGTTTGAATTTCGCTGATTTTAGCTCACATTGTTTATTAATTAGTGTCAATTCTGTTTTACTTTGTTTTTTTTTTTGTTGATTTTAGTTTGATTTTCGTTTTTTTGAGTAGTTATTAAGTTGATTTTAGTTTTATTTGAGTTTTTACCTTAATTTTTGTTTGATTTTTTGGCTTAATTTCTTCAATTGTGTTTAATTTTTCTGCTTAATTGTGTCAGTTTCTGTCAATTATTTTAGCTTAATTTTATCAGTTTGTGTTTGATTTTTTCAATTTCTTCATCAATTTTTTGAAATTTTGTGTTCAATTTTGTTATCATACATGTATTCTAAGAAGATGGCATAATTGTTTCAGCAACTCGACCTAAATTTTATTGTTCTTTAATTTGACCACAGAATCTGAAAGTTCCTGACAGACTAAGGTAGCCAAGTGTCCTTGCAAGCTCATTTGTAACTTCAATATCTGTAAGACTTTCTGAACATAGGGTTGTGTTCATATTATGTTCAAATATGTTCAATAAACTTGGAGGCATAAGGTTGAGGAATTTGGTAGGCTTTGTCATTCGCTCAGGTTTATTCTTGTAATAAATTGTCTTTGCTAAGGGAAACAATGTTGCGACACACTTTTTATGCATAGGATTCAACGTGCCTAATAGATTGCAAATGAGTCTTGTGACTATTGTATGAATAGTATTGGTTTGTAATCTATCCTTAAAAATTATAGTTTCACTTGGAATATGAAAGGGCTTTTTTCTCAGGAGTAATGTTTAGTCTAGGACTCTGGGGGGATTGGTCTATTAGTAGTTTTCTATGACAATATTAGTTGGTTAGGATTAGTGTAGAGAGGTGTAATCAGAAAATTATGGGGAGTTATTTTACAAAGCCACATGAAGGTCTAGGATATTAGCCACTTTTTGTTTAGCAAATCACATCAAATTATGATCATCTTTCATTCTCTTCTTCCTCATTTCTATAATTCAACTTTCAGATACATTAAAGCCTAGAGGTGTGCCCCTAATATGATGTTGTGTTGTTTTCCAGCTACTTCTTTATTTCACTTTAAATAGCACATATTATCATATTGGCTTCACTCTATTCACTTTGAAACGCTTAATTAAATGTAGTAACTTTTATATGAACCTATTTTCCCTGACATGACCCTCATAACAACTTTGTTGAATTTACATTTCCTCAATTTTTAAGGTGTAAAAATGTAAAGGTAAATATCTGATTCCTTGATTTACAATGATGGACAGGATATACAAGCTCGAGGTTGGTTGACATCATACTCCACCGTTTTTACTACATCCATGATGATATTGTTTCTGCTCTTGAGATAATGATAAAGCTACAGCGTGAAATTTTATTCAAATATTAAACAAGTAGCAAGTACTTTTTCGAGTTCAGTAAACTAATCTGTTGTGCTAATATTAAACATGTTTAAGCATGATTCCATCAGCCACAGATGATTTTTGTAACTTTTAAAACACTTGCTAGATGAAGCTGTTAATATTTGTTAAGATTAGTAGTATATATCATTTTCCAATTAGCAGCCTTTCTGTTTAGAGACGTGACATGTGTAAAGAGGCATTAAAGAAATCTCCTCCTGGGAAAGCTTTGGGGAACCTCATCCCTTTCTAACTCTCTCTACTATTTTCGCCAATGATGTATGAACTTTGATGAATGGTGTTCATTTTATTTTAATTTATTCATTTTAATTTGCTCATTTTATTTTGACATGAATGGCCTATGATGATTCCTAAAGGTTTCATATGAAATGGCATTGGTGTGTCTTGAGTTGCTATAAAATTTTACTTTGATGTTTTGAGGAGCTGAGAAATTTGAATTATGTGGATTTTATATTGTCGAAGGAATTTAATATGTTCTGATTATTAACAAAGGTTTGTTTTATCAAATGAGCAAATAATTTTTTGCTCATTTATCAAATGAGCATAAAATTTTTGCTCATTTATCAAATGAGAAACAATTATTTGCTCATTTAAATGAGCATTAAATAATTTTTTGTTCATTTGTCAAATGAGCAAATAATTTTTTGCTCATTTATCAAATGAACAAAAATTAAAAATGTGCAAATAATTTTTTCTCATTTATCAAATGAGCAAACTATTTAATGCTCATTTTTCAAATGAGCAAATGATTTTTGCTCATTTTGTCAAATTAGTGCTCATTTGTGAGTGTGTTTGAATGTTTTAAATACGTTAGCCTACTAGCTCAAGGGTAGAGCATTGTGCAAATGCACAAAAGATGTGGGTTCGAATCCCACGTAGGTTCATTTATGTAATGTGGAGACACAAGTTTGTAGAGTGAGCAAAAAAATGAGCAAACTACACTCAATTAGTCTAGAAACTTAGAAACCTAAAAGGGGTATATTTGGGGATATTAGAGAAAAATAATGGGTGGTTTTGAGAATTTGAGGAAGGTTTTTAATTGATATGCCATGTTTAAACATTATAATTTCAGTTGCATATCCCCTGTTACAAGATTGGAGTTCCTACTTATATTCCTCCAAGATTATCAAAATGGGGTTGCTCCAAGATTTGAGGCTCATGTAAGGGAATTAGTAGATAATATGAAAAGTACTTCACTTGAAACTGTAATAGAAGCTACTTCAGAGCTCAAGATTGCAAACCAATAGGGTTCTTTAGCATTTGAGAAACCTACAAGCAGCTTATAATGCCAGGCAGGCAGATTGTATACCTGAAATACTGCAAATGTCGTCTGTGATAACTTCTATTTATGAATTAGCTGAGGGATACATACATATTAATTTAGTTCTTCTGAGTGGTTTAATCTTCTGTGGATATATAAAGAAAAAGTATTGAACAAAGCATAGTTGAACAGAAAAGGAGAGATGATCAAGTTTTTTTTTAAGGTTTTTTTTTATATAGTTATTTATAAATACAGCCTATGTAGGATTCGAACCTACGTTATCTATGCATTTGCATAGTGCTCTACCATTTGAGCTAATAGGTTTTTGATATAAATCAACACCCTCTCATAGAAGCAGAGGAAAACAATCACATGTAGAAAGTGAAATGCCTCCATTATTACTACAAAAGCCACTATAGCTCACAAATTACCCAACACATGCTCACCCAACACAACTACTACTAGGAAGTATTATCAATTAAATTAGTAACAAGTGAATATGCACCCCATTAAACACACTTACACACACACTCTCAATAATTAGAACTGAAATCAGATTCTTAAATAAGAATGTACACGACCAGGAGCAAACACACACACTTACACATACACTCTTACAATCACACACACAGACACACACACAATAATTTCATAATCTAAAATTAGAACGGAAATCAGTTATTGAAATCAGAACTACAAGCCGAAAGATGATGGGGCAGGGGGGATAGGTTTGTGGAGGAAAGTGGAAGAAAGGAGTTTGGTTGGTGTGCAGGAAACATACCAAGAAGAAGGGGGTGGGGCTTGTGCATAGGCAAGCAGACCAAGGAACTCAATGCTCATTTGTGAAATAAGCAAACAATTCTTTGATCTTTTGTTAAATGAGCAAATAATTGAATGTTCATTTGTCCAATGAGCAAATAACTCAATGCTCATTTGTCCAATGAGCAAATAACTCAATGCTCATTTGTGAAATTAGTAACTAAGTATTTGCTCATTTGGCAAATGAGCAACTAATTATTTGCTCATTTGACAAATGAGCAACTAATTATTTGCTCATTTGACAAATGAGAAACTAACTTATTATCGTTGCTCATCACATATTATCAAAACAAGCAGCTAAAGAAACTTATACATCACATATTATCAAACCAACTTAATTCCATTTTTAGCACTAATTATACATGGCAAACATCTAATTCTACCAACCACATTCTCCTTAATCCGAGTAATCATTTGATTAGCATTAATAGTCCCTTGTTCAATTCCATGTGATAGCATTCCTCAAACAACAAATAATTACCAAGCATTTTCTAACAAGCATTTCATCAAACACCTTGTATGCACTATCAGGATATTCAAAACAAACTCATTGATAATTACCAATTGTTCAGTTAGTTGATCAATCTCTACCCTGGCAATGAAATCACCCTTAGGCCCAACCAAGTCTTCGACACCATAGTTCTTCCTCCTGCGGACCTACAAGTCCAGCTCGTCTGCAACCTCCTCGATGGTGTCAAGGATCTTGTCTACCGTCAAAATTGAAAATCTTATTGAAAATTTTAACGAAAATCCTAAATTGAGAACACTCAAAGTAAAAAAAATCGAGCAAAAATTAGAATGTCAAACTCGAATAACCAAAATTAAGAACATTCATATTAAAAATTTTCCAGAATACTAAAATCGAAATTAAAAAATGTGAAACCCAAATTTTTGTAATCAAAATCGCACAATCTTGATTTAAAATTCAAATTAAATCATAGACAACAACGAAAATCAAAATCAAATTAATAGTAAAATCGAATCTTAATAATTAATGCAATTCGAAATTTTCAGAGCAGTAAAATCGAAATTGAAAAGTTGAACAAACCTTGATAATTATCGAGCCTTCGTATTCTTTAATCGAAGTTATTCGCACTTGTGAAGAAGAAGATGAAATCAAAATTGTCAAGCCTTCAAATGGATTAATCAGTCGCCATTGATGAAGCTTCTTGGTGGAGAGAAGTCACTTAACTGGATAGAGAGAGAAGACAGTTAAGTGGTTTGTAGGAGGTTTATGTGCTTAATCACAGCCGTTCGATTTAATACAATTTAATGGCTGAGATTTGTTCTCACATATGGGATGAGTTCTCACATAGAAGTTGGTTCTCACCGGATCCCGTATATATATATATATATATATATATATATATATATATATATATATATATATATATATATATATATATATATATATATATATATATATATATATATATATATATATATATATTGATAAATTCAAGAATACGATACGCTAACCTATTATACTCTAGACTTATCAAGACTCATTAAGCATCACTTTGTCTTATGCATTATTCAATACATTTTTTGACTTTAAAGTTTTGTTTTGACAAATGTGTCCAGTGACAAATTTTGGGTTCAAAAGTTGGGAGGTAACCTTTCACCCATAAATAACAATATTTAACCATTATGTCATAATTTGAGGGTGGTCGGGCTCGGGCCCTACCCGCACGCCCAGAAATTATCAGATTTTCATATGCTATTTTTTATTTTTATTTTTTTTGGGTTAAGATACTACGGAGTATCATACATACCATAAGTCTTTAATCTGAAGCAATAGAGTGAAAGTAGCATTTTAAAATTTGGACCAGCCTTTTGATTTTTGTCATTGTCGAGGGAACATGGTAATTTTCGAGTGCATATCAGCGTATAACACCTATTGACAAACGAAGTGTATATAGGAGGGAAAAAGCGTAATTTACCAGGCATTAGAAAACTTGAATATTTCACTTAACTGTGCTAGTGGTACATTTAATTCTCCGAAAACGTACCATTGAAATCACATTGGCACAAAGTGGTACGTACGTTTTGTATATTGAATTGTACCACTAAAAAATCAATGTCATTCTATACATTTTCTAAGCACACAGGCGCTATGCGCTAATACTTATTCATAATTTTCTTATGGGCTAACACGTGGGTTATTCCCTCAATAAAAGCCAATTTACTTGATAATTCTCGGAATCTGATCGTGACATTCATTCAAGTACTGAAAATTTCCGGTGATATTGTAGTTTGTCAAGATGTGACATCATGGGATGTGAAGATTTAATGAATATTGAATTATGAAAAAGAGAGATTAACTACTCTATCACTCGAAGTTTTTGCTTTTTGACGAGTCAAATTTACCTTGGATTATTAAGAAAAATATATTAATAGTATTTTATATAAGAGAAAGTATTGGGTGCGAACTGCCGCACGCAGATGCGTGCGACAGTTTTGGTTGATATATATTACTTATTGGCTTATATGTTTCATGTGTTGGCTGATATTTTTTTTTTCCTTTTATTGGCTGATATCAGACATCATTTGGCTCATATGTTTCTTTAGTTGGTTGAAATATTTATTTTGTTGGCTGATATGTATATTTTAATTGTTGGCTAAATGTTTCATTTTGTTGGCTGATATGTTTATTTTGTTGGCTTACCTTGTTTTTGTTTGCTGATTTCATCCTTTTGTTGGCTGATATGCTTCATTTGTTGGCTGATATGTTCCTTCTATTGGCTGATAAGTACCTTTTGTTGGCTGATATATTCCACTTGTTGACTGATATGTATCTTTTGTTAGCTGATATATTCCTTTTGTTGGCTGATATGTTTTTATTAATGTCTTTAATGTTGACTGATATCAAACATCAATTGGCAGATATGTTACTTTTATTGGCTGATGTAAAAAGTATATACAAGTACAAACTATTTTTATTTCCTTCTCTCTCCTCTTTCCCCCTCTTCCTCTTCCTCTCTTTCTTTCTATCTCTTGTTAGCAGCTCCTCTGTCCCCCACTTCCTCTCTTTCTCTCTAAAATCAGCCACAATCCTCACGTGAACCCACCGCACCCACGAACCACCAAACCCACCTGGCCACCACCACCTCTACCTTAAGCCAAACCCACCGCAAATCACCAACCACCGAACCCACCAAAGCAGCCCTAGCCACCCTCACCCAGCCACCACCAGCGAAGACAACCAACCTACTCCCCAAAAACAACCACAACTCCCACTGTCCGCAATTGAGCCTCCACCAAACTCGCAGTCCCATTTTCGATTCAAAGTGTCCACCAATCAGTCACAACCAACGAATCGCAGCCGCTTCTTCGGGGAAACAATACTTCCTGTTGAAGCAGAACGTTGATGCTTTAAAAATCATTCAATTAGGATTGATGTTTGATTTATTTTGTGGGTGTTAGTGAGAATTATGAATGGAAAAAAAAAATCGAAGGAGTACAGTAAAAAGGAGGAGAGCAGAGAAGAGAGAAAGAGAAGGGAAGAGAGGATTGAGGTTGCTGCACAAACACTTGGGTGCGGCTTGCCGCACCCAAGAGTTTGTGTTTATATAATATATTGATAACATAAGACATTGGATGAGATTTTTCAAGTTTTCAACACATACATACTGTAGTTTTTAAATATGTTGATTTTATAAAGTATGAACATTAACTTTGAATTAGTGGGCTAGACACTTTGAAATGAGATTTTGACTTATGAAAATTGAATTACTAGTCTCAAAGTTGAATTGAAAGGTATATTCCTTACCAAGCACATATTATACATAGTACTGAACTGGTTAGGTTAATTATTTCTTATTCGTACGATATTAGAGAACTTTATTAAATGAAATATGTTTTGTAAGCACAAGCAAACAAAGCTAACATTATTTACGCTTTGTCTAAAAATAAGGGATTTGCATTGCACTTTGCATGCATTACCATAGGCAATGACACAGCACCTTAAAATAGATTTTAGATCTGGAACCATGCCTATTACTAAATTATAGCTGTATATTATTATGAACTTTAAATATCTAACGTAATTTACTTCAATTCTTTTCTATGTTTCTTAGCTTGCTTTGATCTCTACCATGGCTTCCTCCTTATCTCTTCAATGTTGCTTGATCTCTATCCTTTTCGGGTCTGCATTCGCTCAATTGTCTGAGAACTTCTATGTAACATCATGCCCTCAAGCAAACTCCATAATTCAATCCCAAGTTAAATTGGCGGTAGCAAAGGAGGCTCGTATGGGTGCAGCATTGTTGAGACTTCATTTCATTGATTGCCTTATTGGTGTAAGACTTTGATCTTAGGAGTTGCATTTAAATATCAATAACTTGTGTATATCATGAATTTTTTGGTGGCTCCTAATTATATTGATCCTAGAAAAAAAATTGGAAAAACAAATTACTTGTACTAGCTAAAATTCTGTGAGGTAGAGGATTATCCTAAAAATTGAAGAAATAAAGTAAGTCAATTGTCTATGCACATCCATATGTTATTCCACATCTTTTTCAAGGCATATGGGAAAGGGGGAGAATGCATGTGATAAAGAGGATGTACCAATGAATATGTAAGAAAGTTGAGGTGGAATAATTTGCCACCTTTATATATAACAATGTTCTCATCAATTCCACTTAAAAATAATATTACTAACTTGTTATTAACATTGCTTCAAAAAAAAAAAAAAGAAAAAAAAAACTTGTTATTAACAACTCTTCAAAAAAAGACAAAAAGCGTGGTATTAACAAAAAAAAAAATAAAAAAAAAAAATTAAATAAATGCATACTTCGAAGTATTTATGGGCCATCTTTGGAAATTGTTAGATGATATTAACTAGTAATTGATGATCGATTGTGTAAGTTGGTTTGACAAACTTATTAAATTAAATAATTTAACTACTCGTAGATGATAGCGTAAGTATCATATATTCATATACAATATTATTTATGAAAACCTTTGGTATAATAATTAATTGAAAATGGCAAATGGGGTTTGTTAGTGTCCTTTCAAGATGTAATTTTAAAAATATCAACAGTTTTCATTTTATTTAATTCCTAATTTTGATTAAATTAAATGCATTAATAGCCAATGGTGTGCTTTTAGGGACTTGGAAAAGGCAAGTAAAATCAATAAATTTTAAAAGACTTCATTATGAGTTAGCTTTAATTTTAATTTAAGCTTGCACCATGTGTAATATTTTCTATATCTTTGCCAAAAACAGGGATGTGATGGTTCTATTTTGCTTGACGACACTCAAAGTGCAATCGGGGAGAGGACTGCATTAGTAAATGGCAATTCAACAATAGGATTTGAAGTCATAGATGCGATCAAAGCTCGGCTAGAAAAAGCATGTCCAGGAGTGGTCTCTTGTGCAGATATCCTAGCAGTGGCTGCTCGAGACTCTGTTGTCATGGTATGATTATCATCATATAAGTCTTTTTCAATATTCCACAATTGTATTTGAACAATTTATGTTGATATTTGACTACATATACTAATTTTTCAACCAAATATTGGGTATAATTACTGTATGAGCCACTTGTCACACGTTGAGAAAAAGATAGATATAAAATGCAAAATAGACCAAGATTAACTTCAATACATGTAAATATAATGTAGAATTGTAGACTTAAATTATATACGAAGTAATTGTTATGATTTATGTTGGGTTTTTTTCCTAGCTTGGTGGACCAAGTTGGACGACGCCATTAGGAAGAAGAGATTCAACCGAAGCACATAAAGATTTGGCTGACACCTTAGTTCCTGTCTTTCTTGGAGATGTTAATACACAAATTGGAGCCTTCGCAATGAAAGGCTTTAGTAAGAATGAATTTGTGGCTTTAGCAGGTAACAAGCATTTTCCTTAGTTACCACTCTTTCATTGCTAATTGGAACAATACTCCACATCAAAAGATAAAACTTTTGGGAATCACTCTCCGAACAAATTATGTTGGGCTTTCAAGTCTCGAAATAGGGACCTTGGTTTAGGTGAAACAGATTCTTTATCAGCTGATCCAAACACTTGTTTATAACAACTTTTATTTTCAACCTCTAATCGTATTGCATGAGTTATTTCTTTTAGGCGGATAATCTAAAGTCATTTTTTTGTTCTCTCAACTCCTCATAGGTAGCCACACAGTAGGCTTAGCAAGATGTCAATTTTATAGAAAACGTGTCTATGAAGCTAAAAACATAGACCCAACCTATGCGGCGTCATTGCAAGCTAATTGCCCTAAGGAAGGAGGGGATAACAACACAGCACCAATTGACTCTACAACTCCATTTGTGTTTGATAATGCATACTTTGTCAATCTAATGAAGCAAAAAGGTCTTCTAAACTCCGATCAACAACTATACACCGGAAAAGGAGGACCCACCGACGCCATTGTTGCTAATTATAGCTCGAATCAACAAGCATTCTTCGATGATTATGCCAAAGCTGTTGTAAAAATTGGTAAAATGGAAGTTCTTACGGGTACACATGGAGAAGTTAGGACTAATTGTAGGAGGGCCAATGGTGCAACGAATTAAAATTAATGAGCTTTGGATATTAATTTTGTTTTTTGGATATAAATTTCATGCTTAAATTATTGTTAATCAATTTTTCAATTTGATCAAGTATTGATCTATACAATTTTTATATCATGTAGACTAAACAAAATACTCCGTATGACACTCATTATATCTTCTCCTCAAATTTATATCTAGCGAAATGATTAACACCCTCTTTGTTCTTAAATAAAAATCGCATTCATTCGATGCACACGTATTTTGGAGAGATGAATAAAAACAAGATAGTGATGAGGTTTGGTTGAATGGAAACAACAAAATAAAATTAAAAAAGACGTTTGTATTTTTTTTTTTCTTTTAAAAAAGATAGCTTGGACATTTTATTAAATTTACAGCAGTACGATAGGCTGGTCACGTACCTCTAAAAAATAAACCTATTTAGACCACAAACTATGTAGGTCGGCAAGCTCAGTAAGGGTTGGATCCCAAGAGACACTAATTATAATGACTCAATAAATTACTAAGCAAGAAACCAATTCATATAATGATAATTCTAATTTAAATAACTATATATAGCACAATTATTCTGAATAATAAAATAAATCAACTTATAAAAACATCTAAGATCAAGCCTTAGCATGAATATAATTAATGCATAGTCGTTCTACCCCTCACATATAGTTCAATCAACATTAGGAAAAGTAATCCCTAGAAAATACCAAAGGTCTCTCTCGAATTATCGATGGCTTTCCTAATCACAATCAAGCCTACTCTCGTGAAGAACTTCAAACCCTTAAATGATTTATTCAAACCCGACCCCGTTAAAACCCAACTCTCGTTGTGATACTAACAATCATATTCATGCATCAATCATTTTAATTGCAATTATTATTATTAGAGAATTTAAAGAATTAATTATTACATCAATCATATTTGGGTTCCTCTAAATCTTAGAATAAGAAAACTACTCACTCATAATAATAAAAACAATAACAAGAATTAAAAAAAACATAATTAAAAATCAAGGGAATTAAAGAGAATAAGAAAATACCGAATCTTGAATTACGAAAGATAAATGAAGAATCTTATGTGCATAATCTTAAAGTACAATGAATATAAAGTCTAGAGAGAAAACTAGGGTTCTAAGATAATGAATTATGAAATAATAAGGCTAGGAAGTATTTATAATAAAGCTAAAAGATAGGATAGAATAAAGAAATAAATCGGAGTAAAACCGACTATATATATTCGTCCAAGCATGGGAATGTCACACGGGACATGCCCGTGCCTAAGATCAGAAACTAAACTTCTTTCATTTCCAGCGAGACACGGGCATGTCAAATTCTGACATGGGTGTGTCGCCTTTAGTGGCACGCATCATATAGCATCATCACTCGTAAAGGCATGGGCGTGCCTTGTTGGAACTTTTTCACTCGATGGGACATGGGCATGCCCACATTCAACATGGGTGTACCTCACTTAGAACTTCAAAATCAAACCTTTTGCTTCTCTTAAAATACACTAGCATGCCATGCCCTGTGTGACATGGGTGTGCCTAGTGTAGACACCTACTTTTAGCCTCTTGTCCCGACAAGAAGTGCGATGATGTTACAAAAACCTGTTCTTCATGTTCGATCAAAGTTGAAGTGTTTATGGACTCCGAAATGCATTATGAAGTAATATATTTTAGACCAAATTATCTTATAGCCTTGTTTGATTACTAATTAGGCCAAAAACGCGCTCATACATGTTTAATCTTGATTAATAATGGACCCAAATGAGTCAAATGTAATGATTGGATCAGAAGGATCTTACATTGTTGATAACCAAGCCAATAAGGGCAATGAACCACATAATATTCGTTCAAGTCCTGAACATATAGATATCCCTTTCAAAGAGCTTTCCAACGGTATATTATAAACCCAATTCCGAGTTAAAACAAAGAAGATATCATCAAAATACTAAACCGGGCCTGAAAACCAACACCCTTGCTCTCAAACAACCAATATCTTTTGATCCATAAGATTTTAACCTAATTCTAATGGCATTAGAAAGTAAACATTCATAGATTTCCAATGATATCTCATTTACCTTAATCCAATTCGTAATCAAAAGTTATGGAAGTTTTAATAAACGCGTTTACGAATATGGCAAACCGCGCTGCGCGCAACTTTCAATATTGAGCGCGACTGCCCAGCGCGAGTCTTAAAGTTGCGCTCGGCACCCGAGCGCAACTTTGAGAGTTACGCGCGCCCTCTGACGCTGCGGTTCTAAAACCCTAAAACTAGATTCCTACACCTATAAATAGGGGGTTTTTGCTTAGACCTAAACACAACAGAAAAATCAGAAGTTAAAACCCTAAAATTTTGAAAACCCTTATCTCTCAAATTCTCTTGGTATCATGCTACTTTTCCCCTCTCTTCCCAAATACTCTTCAACACTAATTTATTCTTTTGAAGTCTTTGGAGGTACGAATAAGGAGGAAAGTCCATAAACGCCTAAAGCGGAGATCTAGCAAATTTAAACAAAGGATAATGGTTAGTATCCTAAGCACTTAGATAAATCTCTTTTCTTTTCTTATTTTAAAAAAATTTCATTAATTAATTAGTGTTGTTTTGTCGCATTAAATAAGATTAATTAATTTATTCATATAGTATTTGTTTTGGGGTTTTCTGATGTCCTGCGGGAGAGCTACAATTCCGAGACTGGAACCGGACGCCTGTACCTGCAAAATAACGGAGACTCCTGAGAGCTCCGCCTCCAACGGTCAAGTTAGTACCTGATTAAGGAGTAATTAATACAGAAATTAAAGTAATAAGGTCTCTCTAGGTGAGAGTATTTAATGTAGGTAATCTGCTTTGCTAGCGAGATCAGCCGGTTATTAGTGTGTTCCGTAAATTATTCGGTCCCTTGATTAATGAGGATTAATCGAGTATTTATAGCCTTGGGAAGCGTGCAACTCTCTAGGTTTAAGGTAAACCTAGGGCCGATCGGGCTTCTAGACTGAAATGGGCCTTGATGGCCGGTTGTCCCATTTGGCATGGGTGGACACGTGGCGTGTCTTAAGTGGTCCGTGGAGGACGCGTGGCGGAACCTGGTTGGTCCACTTGTCAAACGGCGCTTGGTGGATAAAAATCCCCTAATCATTTGCCCCTCACAGGTGGCACGCGACTGGTCACGTGTCGCCTGTGACAGGCGTCGCACGGTGACAGGCGACGGCCCGTTACAGGTGTCACCTTGCAGACGGCCGGGAGACTCTCCCGCCCAAATTTGAATTCGGAAGCGACCCTTCGCCTTCTCATTTTGCCTATAAAAGGAAGTGCTGACTTCGGTCATTTTCACATTTGAGAATTTTTGCGAGAACATTCGGACCCCTGAACTTGCTCTGACATTTTCGGACTTTTTCTGCCTACCGCCTGTTCTGACAAGCCGACTGACCCGAACTTTCAGGACTTCATCAACTGTCATCCGTTCAGGTAACTCAGTTCTCTTACTCTTAATTTTCTTTTTATTTTTTGAAATGGCACCATGGAAGCACACGACACGCCCTAAGTTAGTGATCAGCCGGTCACCGGGGACGGCTGAATCTAGGACTAGGAGTGCCGCCTGCCCTTTTCTGGACCCATCTTTGCCCTTTATACAAAGTCCGACTGAATCTGTGTCTATGCAGAACGTGATGGCCAGAACAAAAAAGACTGCTAGAATATCAAACTCAGACGGCTCCTCCCAAAGGGTACTCCTTAGCGAAACATCTGACCAGGCGCCAGATGTGGAACGAGGCGACTGTCAAGCTGACAGTTCTGAGAGAGGGACCAAGGTGTTCCCTTCTCATCTAACCGTGGACATGTCTAATTTACCTTCTGCTCCTTCTAAGGGAGAGGAGGCGGGCCCCTCTAGGAGAGGGGAGGCGTCGTCCTCTTCGGACTCGTCAGGGGACGAGTCCGATTCCAGCTCTTCTGACCATAGTTCTTCTGACTCAGAAGAGAAACATAACCGCCTACAAGAGGCGAGAAGTTCCCATGCAGTGGAGAAGGGGGATAATTGGGCAGAGCCGTCCGCCTCTTACAGAGAGGAAAACACCCCCTACTACTGCAGGGTGCCCCGGGGCCGGATCGCAACCATGCGAGACAACGTGGCGAGCTTTATTGCTAACCACAAAATGGGCCCGGAGTATTTACTGTTTGTGCCGGATCCAGAAGATACTGTCGTCTGGCCGGCTGGTACCAGCTATGGTGACGGCTGTTTTGGCTGCTATGTGGCGGCCATCAAAGCTGGTCTGCGCTTCCCATTACATCCGGCTGTTCAGCGGATTTTAGATGGGTATGATCTGGGGTTATGGCAGTTAGCCCCCAACTCTTGGGTAAACGTACTCGGCTATGTGGCCGGGTGCGAACTGAACGGGGTGGAGCCAAGTTTTGAGGCTTTCGCCCACATGAACTATCTCAGCCGGACCCCTAAGTCGGGAGGTACCGGCTGGTATCAACTAACAAGCCACAGGGGTTACCTCATGACGAGAGGTAAGGCAAACAAATGGAAGGATTGGCGGAACACCTTCCTTATTATCGAGAGTTCAGACACGGAGCTGAACAAACGTTTTAACAAGTGGAACAGGGATCCGCCTCTTCTTGCAGGCGGCCGCAACATGCCGCCTGTTCCCCCAAAGGCTAAAAGAGAGATCCTAGACAAAGGACTCTTCAAAGTAGAGACTAGGGTGAACTCTACTTCAGGGGTACGAGAGCAAGTACCCCTACACTGCGTCCCGAGCTTCAAGTGGCTCTATGATGAGTACTTCTTGGCCGCCTGTGGCCTCGGCAGTCGGTGCTCTAGAGGTAGCCGGCCTGACGAATACTCCGTTTTTTCACGCCTTGTTTACTTGGGATTTTTACTAACTTTGCTGTTTATTTCTTTCAGCCGACGCCATGAGTAAAATAACAGCATCTAAGACTGCGGCGGCCATGCTGCGGGTTTCGCTAATGAAGCAGTCGTACGCCGACTCCCCCAGCAAGGAGGCACCCTTGGTAAGCTTTGAAAACTCTTCCCCTTTAAGTTGTATTATGCATATACTAACTCTTTTTGTTTTCAGTCTGGCACTCCAAGGGCTTCTTCCTCGCAACAGCCGGACCCCAAGGCCCGGAGAACGACTGTTGCAAGCTCTCCTGGGTCTTCCAGGAAAACAGTGGCGGCTGAGAAGCAGCCGGCCACTTCTTC